GAGTTATTAACTTAAAAATACTCGACACACCCATGAGCTAGCTACAAGTTTCCTAACCTAAGAAAGTAGAGATGGAATACCCTTGCTGGAGGCACAAGTGCCTATAGAAGGCTAGAATATAATTTTTTATTTTTGACTCCCAATAATTTTCACTTACCCAATTACTATACTGCTTTTAAATGGTTTGATCTTCTCATAAAGACACAAGCTGTGTATTTATTGGTTAAAGATGTCCTGAAAAATTCTGTATTCATTCTATTATTTCCTTGGAAGTTTTTCATTAATCTAGATTACATTTTAGGAGGAGAAGAGACAAAGAGATAGGGATAGAGAAACAGAGAGAAAAGGAGGAAGATAAAAAGAAAGCTCGAGAGAGAAGAGGAGGCTGGTGGTGTATAACCTGGGATTTTGACTCAGTTGGTACATCATTCAACTGGACAAGAATTAATTCCTAGAGACACTGCAGAGCACACATTTATCCTTCTGGGACCTTGTAGAGCAGCTCTATTACAAAAACCCAAATAAAAATAAACACACATCCCCTACCTCTTTTTACCTCATCTACTCAACTCCCAGAAATTAGAACTCAAACCTCAAAAACGTATTTACATAGTAGCATGGCTTATTATAAAATCGGTTTTTGCATTTTGAAGGTCAAGATACTAGCCCCCCTATTATTAGCTTGGGGCCCAGAGCAGAAGGAAGCAAGACTACAAAAATAGAAGGGGCAGCTTGGGGCACCAGCCTCACCTGCCATGCGACTACTAGACTCTGCTGTGAGTCCCACTCTCACTTCTCAACTGGCTTGAGTTCTGTGAGAGCAGCTTTCCAGGCCCTTTGGGTAGTGGGGACAACCTGTGAATCTATCATCTTTGGCTTAGAGTGATCTCTCTGGGATGCAGAAGCCACAGAGGGTCGGAGCAGGAAGGATGCAAGGGAAGAAAAAGGTAGCCATCAGAAACCAAAGATGGTTGTTTCTGTCCCTAGGCTTTTGTCCCCCCTAGTGGTACGTCCATATTCTATGACTGGGTGAGAAGCAGCTTGGGACCCCAGCAGTCTGTAGCCGAGCCTGTGACTGCAGCCAGCAGAGGAGCCATCGGCTGCTGCTCCGCTGGGTTAGGCCTTGCTACGGTGTACTAGGCAGTTCAGAGAGGAAAGGTCAAAAATCAAAAAAGACGAAGAGGTTAATCCAGGCAGTGCTTGTGAATGTGGGATCTCCTCATGGATCGGTTAGGTCCTAACTGCCGAGTTCATTTCCTTTGGTTTTTGTTGAGAGTCTCAGTGTGGATATATAGTTATCTGAACCTGGACCTGATTCTTTATGGGGCTTTTGAATGGAGTTAAACTGTTATGCCCTGACTGGCCCACTTTTTCCATCTTTTCTGCATCTTAATGTCCTCAGTGTCCCAGAGTCCAGGAGGGAAGGGCAGGTAGGATGTGTGTGTAGCAATGAGAGAGAGTCTACCCCAAGACATGGCAGTGCCTCTCCTCACTACCATTCTTTATGCCAGGCTTTTGAGGATCTCAAAACACAGCAGATGTAAAGCTGATAAAAATAGCAAAGTTCCTTAACCTTCAAGTCTCACAGATCCCTGCAAGGTGGGTTAGGTTAACTATCTGCCCTGCCCTGCCTTATTTTTTTAAAAAATACAACCTTATAATATTTACATCTAATATATTATAGGTAGGCTGAGAAATGGAAGCACCTCTCAACTTATCCCTGGCTCGACCCACTAAAGAAATACTCTGTCCAAAAACAAGACATCCAGAGCAAGCTTTAGAAATAGAATGTAATGAAAAATTGAGAACGTTCTTTAAAAAACCAAATTATTAAATTTTGTTCCATTATGCCAGAGACCTAATTTCCCTGCCGAGGGCTTTCATTGCGTCTGTGGACATTTCGCACACATTCCCCGTTCCTCCGAACAATCCAGCACCTTACACTATTTCGGATCACCTGGCGAGTTCCCACCTGCAATTCATGAGAATAAAGCATTGTCCAGTAGCAGTGAGGACAGCAGAGGCAGGTGAGCAAATAAGCTTGGATTGGGTAGATTGAGCCATTTTAGGAGCGGAGCCAGTGTTTGCATGCAGCAAAACAATGCTGGGATAGAGAACAGAGGGCACTTAGTTTACCACACTTTGTGGGGGGTTGGGGGGGGGAGTCAGGAAGGGAGATGCTGGTAGATTTATGGAATATGGGGGTCTTTCTTTTGTGGCCTCAGAGTCAAGGGAGGGCAAAAGTCAGAACATTTGGAGTTCAGCTTCAGAGAAATGTTCTCAGTGATCTCAGAACCCCACAAGGATACGAATTAGGGAAGCCCAGGATAGAAATACATTCTTCAGCTAGAAGGATGGACAGGCCACCACCCCTTTATGGTGCAGTAAATGTTTCCTGATCTTGGCTAAGAGGAAGCCTGGATCTGGCATCTAGAGTTCATCCCGTGTCTGGAGGCCTGCTGGGAGTCTGGGACACCCCCCCCCCCCCCTCTCTTTTTCTCATTCCCTCTCTCATTTTGAGGAGATGCTAAGGACTAATATTACAATGGAAACTTGGACATACAGCTGAAGGTTCTCTTGAAGGGACCTACAGTGCTCAATGTTATCACGCTGTGTATCTCCAACAGCAGCACTCGTCCTCTATTGCTTGCAATTCCTCAAGATGCTGCCCTAATTTCGAATCCAAATACAAGAATGGGTTTTTCGATCTGAAGGGGCCTCTTCCCAGGAAAGCGAAAAGGCAGAATCTGAGACCCTGAAATATCCTGGCCGATTATTTGAGGGAAGGTTGGAGTATATGTTCTTTCAGAGGCGGAAGGAAACTTTCATAAGAAGATTATGATCATGAGTCCTGTGACTTAGCTGAAAATTCTTTGATTTTTCTGGTATGGATAGAAGGGCGAATGCAGGCTAAGGGATCAGAAACCTGATTTCTTGGTCAGGGAAAGGTGAATAGAAGCGTTCCTAAGTTCACTGGAACTAGAAAAACCCAGGTGGTTGGTCAGGGGACTGTATCTGCGGTGCTTTCTGCCTCTTTATTCAGGACTCACGTGCCGGTGTGCATTTAAGGTGCCCAGGAGGCTCCCTGGCTAGCAAGTTTAGTGTTCGCAATGCTGTTTGCAGGCAGGGTCCATTCCCAGCAACTGCTCTGCCCACCCGAGTTTCCCCTACTACTGAGACGGCTCAAGGTATCACTTCAGTTCCCTTTCGCCAAACAATGCAATAGACTCATTGGCTCAGAATGGTAGTCCTGGTGTAGGCCTGGCCCACGGGAAAGCTGCATTTCCGAGGCAGAAGAAAGCGATTTTGTGCACACAAAGCCGCCCCAAGCAACACTTTGGCATGAAATGACGCTGAGCAGAGGAAACCTTTCGAACAACACAAGGCCCAGAATCAGTCTTATGTAACCATCATGCCTGTAGGGTCCTGTTTGCATCCCCAATTCCTCCTGGGCTCACGGGAGGAGTGGGAGAGGGTCTGAGCTGGGAAGGCCTTTCTCTCTGCCTCACTGGTCTCCCACCCTGGGATTACTTTGGTTTGGGGGCAGACGGTGGGCCATGAGGCTCCGCTAATATCTAGATGAGAAGGCAGGGCCACGATAAAGGAATCTGCAGCCTCAGGGGTGAATTTGGCTTCTCACAGCTGACGGGGCAATGCCTTACTTCTATTTCAACTGAAAAAAGAAAGGAAACAGAGGCTCCTTCTAAGAGAAATAAGTCACTGGCTGCTCCTTACCCAAGAGGCAAGTCTGAAATGGAGGAGTTTAGGGGTGCTTACCCACTGGATCTTGGTCCAGGGGCCTGCGTCTTCCTCTGGAGGGTTCTGAGCAGCAGGCTCCCTCTGCTCCTGGCTGAGAAAGGAGGGCCCTGCCTGCACCCCTCTGCAGGGGACCCTTCCACCCACTGTAAGGTGCTGGGGGACCCGGGAGGGCCTGAAGGTGACTGCATTTCCACTGATCAAGACAGCGATGCGTTCCACCAAACGGACGATTACACAGATTTGCCAAGTAAGGGCTCTATTTTCCTTGATGCTTCTGAGTTTCGGGGGTTAGGAAGGAGAGCCTGAGGCTGTCTTCTGCTCAGCTCTTACTCTGGGAGGGGGCACAGCACAGTCCTGGCCCAGAGAAATAGGGCCCCGGTCTGTCACACTGGGTGACAAGGCCCCATTAGAGTTTGTTTCACTAGAAGTTGCAGCCCAGGTCTCAGCTGAGGTATATTAACTAATCACCTTCACGTACCCTGACACACGGGCCCTCCACCATGAGGCAGACACAGGAGATCCCGGTAAAGTCTGACTCTTACCGATGCTTCTGTTTCAATGTGCTAGCCCAGTGGTTGGCAAACTGGCCCATTGAATGTGGCTCTTCCACAAAATACCACGTGCGGGCGTGCACATACAGTGCGATTGAAACTTCGTGGCCCATGCCACGGGGCCAAAGAGCCGCATGTGGCTCGCGAGCCGTGGTTTGCCGACCTCTGTGCTAGCCTTTCCCACCTCTATCGTAGTCCTTACTAGGCGTACCGTCTCCTCGGGGGAGTGGCAGGGAAGGCTGGGCCCAGAGGCCCACGGCCGCCAGCCAGGATGGGCTGGTCCTGCAGCAGCACTGTCCTCCACTCGGAATTACTTCTATTCTGGGTGGAAAACAGACTCTGCCTTGAGGCCGTTGGTGCTCCTGCCACATGGCCCTGCCCTCAGGGCTCCGTCTGACCAGCCTAAGGCCAGACCCGGTTCTCATCAGCTGGGGCCCTGGCCATACCACCCTTATCAGCGCCACAGGCATGTCTGTGGACCCTGGGGGACCTCCTTAGACCATCTTAACACTCAAAGCACCTACTATGCGTGATAGGCCTGCCGCCCCAGCACCGCTGCTCTGACCGCTCCTCCATGTGGGCTGCTGGGCTATGGCTTTGCTGGTCCAGACCAGCCCTGGCTGCTGCTGCCACAGCACCCTGTCCCCTCCACGCCACCCCTCCCTCCCCGCCCCACCCCTGGCATCCGATGCTCCTCAACTTAGTCTGTGCTTCTTTGGGGAAGCCAGCCCCAGGGTGACGCGTGAGATGCAATGGCCCCAGCGGATGGTGCTGGTGGAAAACAGACTCTGCCTTGAGGCCCTTGGTGAGGGAGGGAGGAGACTCCCTTCCTAGGGTCACCACAACCCCCCGCCCCCCCAGTTATGAGCCAGAAAGGCTTCCAGGCGTCGCAGGGCAATGGACATGGACACAGGCCAGCTCACTTCCTCCACGGCTTTTAGCAAAGTGGGAAGGGGCAGTGGAAGCAGAGCGATCCCGGTGTCCCCTCTCCAGGGGCCACCCTCCATGTTCTCTCGTCTTCTTTCCCCAGCAAAGAGGCAGAACTATGGCAGTGCCCATCTTGCAAAGGGAAGTAAAGCAATTTGGTGGGTTCGACTGGTTGCCGTTGGTCCTTTCCTCCTCTGATAAGCACACGGTCCTTCCCTCCTCCTCCCCCCCGGGCCGCACTGGCTTCCCAATTCGGTCTTGGTTTTCTCCGTGTGAGAGAAGAGCATGCATCGGAGGGGGGAGCAGCCTCTAGCATTTGTCGTCTTCTTCCGTGTCACTCAGGAGGTCGCTGACTGCTCCACACATCATGCCCGGCCCCGGGCCCCCACGCCTCCGCCGCCGATAGTGCCCGTTGGGCATCTGCCAGCTGTGTCGCAGGGGCGGGGCTGAGCCGATGGTGTTGGCACGGCCCAGGCTGGTGGCCACGGCCGCTTCGAAGGTGAGCGTCTCCTCCTCGCCGCAGTCCGAGGCTTGGGCGTCTTCGTGCAGGGCCAGGTAGGGCTCGGAGATGTAGCGCTGCGGGGAGGGGTGGCCGTGCGGGGGCCTGGAAGACTCGGGCAGGCCTGCGTCGTTGCTCTCCGGAGCCTGGGAGGTCAGCGGGGAGCCGCCCTCGCTCCCATCCGCCGGGGGAGAGATGCTTCCCGTGTGTCGAATCAGCGAGCTGTAGGACAGGAGGGGCCGAGGCTTCGGGGGGACGGGTGGGAGCTGCCGACGACTTCGTCTTGGGGTGCTGGTGTCAGAGATGGAGGGGATGGAGCTTTCACTCAAGGAGCCCGTGCCCTGTACAGCAGGAGAGACGTGGCAGGTGAGACTGGGCTGGGCACGCTCCCTGCTTGGGGCCCTGCTGAGGTCCCTAACCATCTCCAGAAAGCCCTGGAGAAGGGGTCTTGGCTGCTCCAAGTCACATCCATGCAGGGATGACAGGAGAGTGAGACACCAATACCATTCAGATTGGGGCCTGTCAGCTTGTGATACAGGTTGGGTTCGGTTTTCTGGGAGTCTTGCTAAACTACAGGTCCAGGCCCAGAAGATCTGGGGGAGCCTGAGACTGTGCATGTCTAACGGGCTCCCAGGTGCTGCTGTCCACGGCCCACGCACGCTGAGTAGCAAGGATTTGGAAGCTCTATGTACAGGCGTGGGCAAAGCAAAAGTAGGTTTCCAGCTGTGAGTACGTGGTGAAAGTTTAATTTTCCATACGAACAACTGTAAGCCTACTTTGCCGCCCCCCGCCCCCCATGTAAAAAGTGGCCCATTGATTGACAGACCTGCAAGTGTCGAGAGTAGCACGAATGCTCCTCTGGGAAGTGCATCTGAGGGAAGGGCATGCCTCCCTGTCCTCACTGTCTCCCTGAGGTTAACAGCAGCTTCTCTACACCAAGCATGTCAAACTCGCGGGCGGCGGGCCACATGCCTCGTTTATTTACACCCTCATCTGCTGGTTCAGGCCTGACCTGACCTGCTCAGGCATTCCCCAGGGTCCCTGGGCTCAGGTGTTAGTAAACGAACCTGCAGGACAGTTTCTCAAGGTGTGTGTGACCTAGGAGCCACCGCCTCCAGGTCTCCCGGGGAAGGGTCCCTCCCCGTGCAGAATCCCGGGCGGCGGGCCTCACTACCGGAGCAGCCGCCTCAAGGTGCCAGGCGTGTGCCGTTTTAACAAGCCACAGCGGATTCTCTTCTGCACAAAAAACTTGAAAACCACCGCTCTAGAAGCGCACTTCCCAGGTCCTAGCTGACTGTCCCACTGCTTCGAGGGGGCCTCCCATCCGGGCTCTGAGAACCTCGGGGAGAAGTGGGGTGCGAGTGAGGGGTGGTCGTGAGGAGGAAAGCAGGCCAGAGAATGGCTCTGGTAGTTATTTCTTAGGCACAGGCTGGTGTTTCTACAACAGGCCGGAAGGAGGCTGACAGCCAGGGAGATGAACTTGAATCACTGTTCCAACGCATACCAAGGCTCATGTGACGGATCCATGAGCATTTTCTGGCTAATGGACCATCCTTCGCCTCTAAATCTGGCTGAGACATTTGTGAACTTATTTGTTGGGACTCTGTACCTCAAGATTTTGAGGAGTGGAATGATCCCTAGACACCATTGTCTTTCTTGGGGGACGGTCTGCTTTCTGTGAATTCATATTAGAGCACACGGCATCTAGGTCTGTGTGGGTGCTGGGTGCCCCCCTTTTGGACCTAACGTCAATGACCACCCTTCCTGGTCTTTCTGCAGGGGCTCGGCTTCCTCTCCATGCTCACCTGTCTATTGGGCGTCTGTGACCTGCCCTCACTGGGCGACCTGGACTGGCGACGCTCTGGGGACTCCCAGTCGGCCTGGGTCCCTCGCTCCTCTGAGTTGCAGCGGGAGACATCGGGGGAGAGAAGATGCTTTCGTTCTTTCGATCGTCCCCGCTCTCTGCCCCCTGAGCGGTGGGTGTCAGACTTGTGGCCTGGGAAAGATGACAAAAGCAACTGATCACAACTCTGAAAAGAAAGTCTCGAAGCCTGGGACTGGGCGCCCAAGGCCCTGGCTTCTCCGGGCGTGTCAGCAGGTGATCTGAAAGGGAGACGGGAGAGAAAGGCCAGAGAATCACCCCTGGGCTACCAGGTGAGTGGGCAAGTTGCCACGGGAAGCCGTGCATGTCCAAGGATGTAATCATTTCTCTCCTGCTGCTCCTGTTGCAGCATAAAGCTACAACAGTTTAGAATCGTTGCCAACAAAAGGGTCCAGCAATCCTCTAGGTCCTGAACATGGGTGTGTAACTTTAGGGGTGAAGATGACCGCAGCAGAAGGAAATTAAGACGTTGCTATGAACTAAATACCCTGGTATTACGTCAGCTGTGCCATTGAGAATCCTTGGACTTCAGTTCTAGTCTCAAGCCTGCCGCTTACTGGCCCTATGATACAGGGAAGTCACTGCTTTTTAAATCTTTGTTCATTTAGCAAAATAAGAAAGCTCCAATACGCAAAACTATGCCGGGTAGCATTCTCTGGGTTGAAGTGGACTTGGTGCTTAAAGCCCAGCCCCTGAGGGGGTCTCTAATACATTCCCAAGGAGCCCCAAGCATTCTGCAGACCCTCTGAGAACCTCAATTCTATGACGTCTGCAAGGAAGAATCTCCCGGGCCTGTTTCAGGGTGTGCGTCAGATACGGGACCCCTTGGGTAAGGAGCACTCTTCCTTAACCCTCATCGCAATTCTCTTCCAGAGACCTCCAGTCCTTGCCAGAACCTGCCCATCCAGGCAGGAGCCCGAAAGGCGAACAGGCCAGACCTCCTTACCGGAGTCCGAGTTCAGCCGGTGGGCTGACAGCCGCAGGGAGGAGTGGTAACTCCGGCGCCGGGACTTGTAGGTGTTTTCACTGCTTCGCTCCATGGAGAATTCCTCCAACCACGAGGAATTTGAACGCTTGTCCCGAATAGTGGAAAACGAACGTCTCATGGAGCTGGGGTCTGTTACTACCTGGAAACAGGAGCCCCCCCGAGGAACACAGGTAGGGATTAACCACTGAATGGGTCTATAAGAAAGAAGTGGGACTGAGGTGGCTGAAGACTGCAAACTGTGACCACCCTTGAATCCCTCTTGCTTAGACCTTAGCTGGAGGAGGCTATGGTGGAAAATGTCTTTATGTTAGGTCTTTACATCACTGGTCCCGGGTCTCGCCTTTATGCTCAGGAGAGCAAGCGGCTGAGCGTACTGTGCAAGCTTCCCACAAAGCCACCTCCACAGGGACTCAGCCAGGACCTGCTCTGATCTTTGAGCCACTTTGAATATGTGAGGGCAATTGTCAAAGCGTCTGTGCTATGAAAGCAGCGTGGCTTGGGCTTGGGCGTTCGCCAGAGAAGGCCTGTCCTACAGCACCAGAACGTAGAAGACCTTGTCATGGAGCAGCTACTAGGAACATGTTGCTCTCCATCATCCATCCCACCTTCAACCTTAAACTTGGGCATTTTGCTTTGCTACAGCAGCTAAAAACAGATCCATGTCAACTTCTTGTCTCTGTCAAAACTTAATGTAAGACAGACAGACAGAAAAAAGAAGCCAGGAAAACAGACAAAGAAATGAGGCGTGGCCTGCACTGGTTAGGACAGACAGTCCTGACACAGAGCTGTGTGTGTTTAAGTAACTGCCTACATGCTTGAGGAGCCAGGAAAGGGAAAAGGAAGGAGAAACACACAGCAGAAATCCTGGGAAATATTTCTTGCATGGCTGGTTGAGTCTGGAGGATGTTGCGCCCATCTGGAGGGAATTTTGCTATCTAGGCTGTTGTGCTTAGGGCTCCATTGGAAGCACGTGTGGAGGAGCAGGTTGTAGAGAGAAGGCCCATAAGCCAGGATTTGCTCACAGGGAAGGGGTGAGGGCAAGTGCAAGGCTCACCTGGAAATATCAGATGTTTTTCCATAACCCACCAATTCAATACAGCCCAGGATGCCACTGCATATGGTAGGTGGTTGCTTTTTACCTGGGGATCCACAGTCAGGCGTGGCATAGAGGATGCCCTCCCCGATCCCGCATGCTCCTGGGTGTCCGGAGGAAGGTAGATGCCATGGTTAGAGGGCTGCACGCTTTTTAATTCACTAAACTCTGGCTCCTGGAAATAAACACAGCCAAGCTTGTGGGACTTGGTTCCATCTCATTGTTTCTCATTTCCAGTGGCTGATCCTGCCTCCTCCACACCAAGAATGGCTTTTAGAAGAGAGACTTGCATCTTTAAGGTCTGTTGTGTGTGTGTCTATATGTGCAGATATGTGGTATACCAGATGTCTCAAACGGTAAAGATCACTAAGCAATGCCTCAGATTTTATAGCTTTATATAAAAACATTATACTTTTTGAGAGTTGGTACTGTTGGGTTTATTCTTTTAACCTAAGAAGCTATTTATCAACGATATGGAAACCAGTATTCTAAAGAAAGTCAGAAAGATCTGATGTCAAATGTATTTTCTCAAACTTTAAAACACATGATCTTATTAGCAAAGAGTTTTCTTATGATTGGAATCATCTCAAAAAAAAAATGTGGTGGGTGGACATCTGCCAGAGATGCTCTAGACTGGTACAGTATATAATAGAAATATAATGCAGACCAATTATGTAATTTTAAATTTCCTAGTAACTACATTAAAAAAAACATGAAAATTAATATACTTATGTAACCCAATATATCCAAATATCCTCATGCCAATATATAATCAATGTAAAAAAAATGAGACATTTGACACTTTTTGGGTATCAAAGTCTTTGACATTGGTCTGCATTTTCCACTTGGATCACATCTCAGACCCTCAATCGTCACATGAGGGCAATGGCTATTGTACTGGACTGTGCCAATCTAGAGCATTAGGAGGTGGGAGTGACGATCTTTAAAGTCCTGTCCAACCCTGTTATGTTATTTTCCTGGTCAAAGAATGTCAGTTTGGCAAATGCACCTGCTCTAAAGAGATGGCTAGTGTCACTCCAGAGAGAGTGGAGCTGCCTCAGAAATTTTACTTGGCTCACCAAACAGAGCGACGTAGGAATATCTCAGACATCTGGAAATGATACCAGAAAAAAGCTATTTTTGGAAATGACACTCTAAAAACACTGGTGTCTGAGTAGGGCGCTGCTGAAAGTCAGCCTCCATGACCATTGGCTGAGTTGAGCGGTGTCTGTGGGAGGACTGCATCCCAGGACCTATGATATGTGCACTTGAGGAAGTCAGTGTATGCAGGACATGCTTTATATAGTACACAAGTCTGACTCGAAACACATGTGAGAACAACACTGCAGTCTACGAGTGTCAGAGGTGGTGCAACACACACATACACACGTCATGGCCACGCCTCAGCACGTAGAGCAGGGCCCCCGAGGGATGGGCAGGAGTACACAGTGGTGAGTGTGGAGCACAGGCTGACACCTGAATCACAGACACCGGTACTGACAATGAGATGAACACATATCCAAAAGTCCTGGCACTACGGCTCAGCCCCGGGGGAACCCGCAGAAATAAAGAAATCTCCCTGTGAAAAGAAAGGACACATTATTGAGATTTTCCCCACCAGACACATCACCAGGCAAGCCTTAAAATGCTGAGAGGCCCTTTTAAGGATCAAGCTATCGGTACCAATTAGTCCGGGGGCCTTGTGCTAATTCGCTCAGATAATTCCTCTAAGACTTCCCACCCATCTTGCCAAGAATACCCTCAGGCGCTCACATGCTGGGATCCCAGTCAGAGTGTGGTCTAGCTGTCTCCCCTACCCAACCATGTACACTCCCTGGACTCAGCAACCACAGAAGAATCACCCATTTGTTTGAGCTACTGAAATGTTCTGCTCCCTCTGACAGGTACCCATTCCATCAGACATGCAGGTCACTGTCCACCCACACCGTCCCCTCAGGATAGCTCAGGGGTACACAGGAGCAGTGGGGAGGGGTCGGGAGAGAAAAACACAGATGAATTATAATCCAAGTGGCATGGAACTCAGTACAAGCTTTCTACCTGGACTTTTGCAAATGTTGGGTTTTGTCTTTCTCTCTCCAGGCAATAACCACTTGAGCTGTAATTTTAATCTCGGCGGGAATTTCATGGCTGCTGAGCTAAGAATAATGGTAAGTCAAGTCTGTTATCTTTGGGAATAGCAGTTTAGGGTTTGCTAATATCAAAGCTGAAGTTTAACCTGTCCTCTCTTCTTCAAGCTTAGCTTGGACTCAGTAGGCTTCTTGGGAATTTCACCATTTATTGTAATGAAAAACTTTGGGCTCAGAAAAGTGATTTTAGGGACCTCTCGGAATGTATTTGACCCTCTAAAATGGTGGCCAATTGGTCTGAACCTGTAGAGGCAAGAGATTCTCACATCTCCTGCTGGACACTGTCTCTCTTGGACAGGCTACCCTGAATTCTCCAGGAGGTGGGGCATCCCTGACTATGCTAAGCTGCCCAGTGGGTGCCACTCATTCTATGACGATTTCTCCTAAAACTCCTTATCAAAGACAAGATTTTATGATGCTCCAAGGCATTAATGAATAGGGGTTGGCCTGAAGCAACATAAACTCCTCCAGCAGATAAGGGGCCCTTGAGATGGTAAAACCTAAGGAGGAAGCATTTGTCAGAGAACATGAGAAATTCCGCCATGAAACATGTCTCCATGTTTCCTGGGAGACAGCAGGAAACTCCCAGGGTCCTTGGTTGAGAGAACAGAAAGGGTTTTCCTGGTGGATTGTGGCTATGAAATCAAATTTGAAAAAGAGTGGGAGGGATCAGCAAACGAGGGAACTGTTTGGAAGTCTTGTGACTCATTCACTCACCAGAGCCTGCTCCTCCTGGAACTGTCCGTCATCGGCTGAGTCCATACACGCCAGCTGGAATATTTCCTGGGGGGAGAGCGGACTCATCGAAGGGTACCCACTCCGGCCACTCCTGAAAAGCAATGCCACGTTTAGAGGTAATGAGTGCATGAGCGAGAAACAGACATGCCATCGCCGCCACTACCAAGTCCCAGCCCCGGCAACACCCTTTACCAATACTCTTGGTGGGCTTTTAGCTTATAGGTGCCTGGCCCTAGAATAGAAACTCTTAAAAAAAACAAACAAACTACAAACACACACTGGAAAAGAGAAAGCACTGTTTTCAACCTGCATTTGGAACCCTTCCTCACTCGGCTGGTGACTCACATATCTGTGATGAATGACATCATTTGTCACACTCGGCCATATGGAAGACCAATGCTGGATTGTAAACCGGTTTCGGCTTGGTTTCTCCATTAGGCGGAAAAATGCCATACTTTAAACAGTGAACAGTCTGTTTAAATATTAAGCAGTCGCGGTCTTTTAAAAAAATTCCTCCATGCTCAGTAAGAACATGGCTTTATTGTGCCAACATCCCTGGCCAAACCAAACAATTCAGTGCCAGACACTGTGTCTGTTGGTTCCTGAGCTCAGTGGAAGGATTCCAGAGGGTGGGGAGGAGGTGACCTTGCCTGGGTTGATGGCTCTGTGGAAGAACGCTTAAGTGGTGATGTGAGAGAACACGACAAAGTCAGCCAAGTACTTAGAGGCTCTGAGTGAAGGGTATGGAAAGCTTCCTGTTACTAAACCATGTTTGGTCCCTGTAGATACTCTTAGCCAATGTGATCCACGGGGCTGGGTCAGGAGAGTCAGTCAATTGTCCTAAAATTTTGGCTGCTGCTGCCATAGATACCCTTTGACCTGCTCAAGAGTGAACTTCCTGATCCTGGGAGGAGGGGCAGCGAGCGGTCAGTGACTGGGCAGCTAGGAGAGAGAGATGAAGACCGTCATCTCGTAATTGTGCCTACTGTTAATGGCTCCGAGCCCTGAGCAAGGGCTGCCAGTTGCTTCAAAATATTCCATAGGTGCGACTTACTGGGATCACAGGATAAGGGATGAAGAGCAGCATTTTCACAACTGCTACAGAGCATCTGCTATTCAATGACTTAATGTCCATCGTCTTCTCCTGAGAACCGCTGGGAACAAGGTGAGCACTGCTGTTATAAGAAATAGGTCCCCCTTTGCCCTACAGAAAATAAATAATTTACCCATTGAGAGAATCCCCAATAGGTAGAGAGGACCCTTGGAATCACTGAACGACCTTGGAGTTGAATACTTTGACCTTCTCCTTCAAAAGCATTGTCTGCTTCTCGTCCTTAGGATCAAGTCCAGAATCCTGAACACGGCCTCTCGCATGATCTGGTCCTTACCTCCAAAGCCTTTGCTTAGCCCTTGCTCCCTGAATTCCAGACACACAGGACTTCGTTCATTGACTGTGGCAGGCTTCTTTCTGCTACAAGGCCTGAATACAGGCTGCCCCCTGAAAAACCTTTCCCTGGTATTTTTAATGCATCCTTCAAAATGCTTATCAAAAGTCACCCCCGTAAGGAAAAATGTTCTCTCTCCCACGTAACTGATCAGATCTCCCTCTCACGTGCACTCAGCTCACACTGCGTTTGTTTCTTCCTATCACTTCCCAGAACTGTGATTAATCACTGAAAATGGTTTTTTCTTTCCAATAATTCTGTTTCATGTCTGGTTTTCCACCAGATGCATGCTTAATGAGGGAGGAGCCTGTCTGTCAGTCACTGCTGTATCCTCTGAGCAGTCTCTACTTGAACAAGGCAAAGCTCTGGAAACACAGATGGTCCCGAGGAAGCAGCCGGCTGCTCCCCCAGTGTCCCCATCTCAGGAAATGTACCAACATCCACCAGAACCCGGGGACCATCCTTGACTCCTCCCTCTTCTTCCTCCACAGAGCACAGCAATCACCGAAGCCTCCATTACCTCTCAAGTCTGACCTTCTCTCCACAGTCATTACTAATTTACACCTTTGCAGTCACTTACTAAGTGGTGTCCTGTCTCTTGAACTGCTCTCCTCCAATCCCCTGAATCCATGCTGGAACCACGAATGATCTTTGTAAAGTGCAAATTGGATTATGTCACTCGCAGGCATTATCCTTGGATGAAACTGAACTTCTGGCTCCTGCTTGTGTGGCTCCTACGTCCTGGCCCTTGTCGCTCTCCAAGCTCAAAACCTGCCACCTCCATGAACTGTGCTCCACCTAACAGGCTGCATTCTTTAAATTGACCACATCTTGCCTCTCCTCTCTTGAAGAGCTGGCCTTCGAGTCTCACTTACCTGTTGCTTCTCAGGGAAGCCTCCTCCACCCTCAGAGTAGGCAGCCGCCTCCTCCACTTGCACAGCATCACAATAACTTGCCTTCTGCATTTTAACCGTTATCTTTCATTTCTTTCTCAGGATCTGTCTCTACAGGGACTGTGATTATATTGACCGCCACATCCCCAGTGCCTAAGCCAGCTTTGGAGTCACATAAATATTGGTTAAATCAATGAGGAAGAGAAGACAGAGTGATCCTATGATGGGAGGTAATTTGTACAGTGAATTGGTGTGGATAAGACAGATTGAATTGTGGGTGTGGGGGGGTCCCCTCCATTTCTAAGCCAAGAACCCTTGGAAAACACTAAATCCTTCCAATGAGGTGGTCTCACTCTGCCATCTTACCTCCTTCCTGCACAGATCAAAGAGCAACATCTGCTTGTTTTCTGCAGACAGGAGAATCCACACCCTGCTACCTCATCACATCAAATGTTTGCTAAAACGATTCATGGCCTTGGTCAGAATCTGGGCCTTTTCTTCCAGATGCGTTGAGTTGTGACCTCTGAAAATGATGCTTTTCAAAACCAGGTCCCCAATACCACAGGCAGAAAGAAATTAACGGCGTGAGAGGTTCTAAATGGCATTCTGACAGAGGTTGTGTAGTGATTACGGATTTCTTAAGAAGCAGGACTGGAGTAAATCCAATCACGAAAGCTCATTTACACTTCATGCCCTTTGCTACTTCAGTACATGCTTGACAGAAAGATAATGTTCCCATAAGATGTGTATGACCAAATTGGCGCCAAGGTTTCCAACTCAAAAGAGCTGGCAGATTCCTTAATTGAGTTTTGTCTCCATTGCCAATACAGAAAATAAAGAATTTTTTTTTTTTTGCCTGACCTAAGCTTCTTTTTGTTTATTTCGCATATAGTGTAGTGGGAAGATTCTAGAGTTAGAAGTAAATGACTTAATTCCTGTTTAGCTTTCTACTAGCCGTATGGCGTTGGGCCACTTACTTAACCTCTCTGGTGATGCTAACATACACCGTTCCTGCTCTTCTCTCCCCCGTCTTCTCAACCTCAGAGAAAGGCCCATTCAGCTCAGAGTTAGCATTATTCCCTCCACATTCCTGGGCCTGCATACTGGCACGTGTGACAGACACAAACAGGAGAGCCGTGCCCTCTGGCTTTACTCACAGGCCTGGAGCGGGGTCCTGCTGGAGGTAAGGCAGAGCTTTGGCATTGGCGATGATCTCCTGCGGCAGAGACGAGGGCTCCATGCGCTGGAACATGGGTGCATTTTTCTGTAGAAGAAGAAAGGAACTCAAATGATTATGGCAGAAAATGTGATATACTTGGATAAAATAGGAACATGGCTGATATCTTAATTGACTATTTTAACCTTTGACTCACTGGGTTTCTAATCCCCTGACCCTAGAAAGTTCCTGGACCCTGAACCCTAGGGATACACAGGTCTGTCCCTCAGGAGCCCTCATGTGACGCATGACCCACCCACCCTACTATCGTTGCCCTTCACCTGTTCCTCCAGCTGCTGCCTCTGCTTCTTCACCTTACTCTGCTTATAGTAGTCCATGATCATCATTGCTGCATAGATTTTGCCCACAGTCAGGTCAGAGGCTGAAAAACACAAATGGGGCATGGGAGGACCAAAGAGGAGGCAGATGGGGGGAGGGAGGACGCCTCAAGCTTTGTTCTCCACCCTCTGAAGCAGGTATGCGCCGGGCACTCTGCATGCAAAGTCAACAGGTCCCCACATGTCTTCTCAGGGAGCTTCCACAGCCGTCCAAGGAGGGAGAGACATTAGTAAGCATCACCGCCGCTGGTCTAGATTTCCATCTCCAATAGCACCCTTTCCCAATGGCATGAGGGCTGGATGCACAGTATTATGGGAAGGAGAGAGCTACACACCAAAAACTTTCACCTGAAACCACAGTGACCCCATTTGAGAAAATGTTTTCAATTAATAATGACAAAGGGGACTTAAGAAGTGAGGGCTTTTCGTTTCCTAAGGATAAAAGAACACGTTTCCCTTATCCCTTCGATCACTCTGTGTTCCCCTCAAAGATAAGGCCTTGGCATGCTGGGACTAGGGTACCCAGGGGAGATGCCATACCTTTGGGCATGGGCACAAGCAGATCTAGCATCTTCTGGGACAGGTGAGGCCAGATGGCCAGGGTCTCTTTCTGTAGCTCCGAGTCTAGCTGCTGCCTGTCAGCACCACCTGATAGAATAAGATAAACTATGAATAAAGAGCGCAGAGACAGAAAGAACAAGGAGGGAGTGGAGCTGCACCGGCATGGCACTGTGTATTCTCTGGGGACATCCCGGCTCTTAGTGGCAGTGGATCTTGCAATGCCGGGTCTTCCTGCTGAAGCAGCAGCACACAATGGGACTCCCATTCTCAGTAACTCAGGGACATCCTGCCCCAGAGATCTGAGGCCCCGAGACCACGGTCAGCTTCCTCTCGCACTGGAGCAGCCTCCCAGGTGCTCTGTGTATCAGAGGGGAAATGAAAAGAGCCACGCGGCGACCTCTCCTGCCTCATTACAGGGACATCAATTCTTCCAGCGACTCTGGTTGGAGTGACCTGGTTTTAAACAGGATTTGGATCAGGCAAGAGCAGGAGGGCTGGAGGCCCATTGGGAAGCAGTCAACCTTTTCTCTCCTAAGTCACTGAGTTAAAAATCAGAGGAAGCAAGGCCCGCCATGATAGCACCCGCCATGGAAGCCTTCCAAGGCGTGAAAGGTGCCACATAAGAAAAAAAGGCCACAATTAAAGCTCATTTGTTGAATAAACACGTGTGTCCAAAATGCTTACTATGTACCAGACACTGAGGCTCACATACTGTTAAAGCTGAAAGGAGCCTTAGCGATGAGCAACCGCTCATTTTGCCAGGAGGCAGCGGGCAACGTTGTAGTTATTGAACCTCAGGCGGACACTAGGACCCTAGTACTGGATTTCCTGGTCTCTGCATTGTTGGGGGGGGGGGGGGGGCAGTTCAGACATCTCTGCATGAGCCCCTCCAGAATCGCTGCTTCCTCGCTGGGCTCACCTTTGGCGATCTTGATGTCCAGAGCAGTCCGGATCAGAGCCATCAGGGTGGAGGTGAAGTGCACTGTCATGTCCTCCGCCACGGGCATGTTCATCAGGACCAACCTCTGTGGGTGAGAGAGAGAGAAACAGCAGGGGGAAGACGTATCAAAAGAAACCTTGGTGAGAGGGGAAGACAAGTGCAGAGGTCAAATGCAGAGACAAAAAAGAAGGGCAAGGATCCCACCTCTCCCGACCCTACTCTCCCTACTTCGCATTGGAGGCTCATTGCTGCTGTTTTGTGCCAACACCCCCCGCCCCAAATGATGCCAAAATCCAAGGGAAGGGGACTGGTCATTCTGTAGGACTCCCACAATCCTAAGAATGTCTTCCATAGGGACAGGAAGTGATTTCTAGGCTCAGGGAACGGAGTCAGCTCTGAGAAGGGGCTCCATTCCCTGTCAAGGTTGCTCTGTATTTCCGCGTGTCCTGTGAACACTCCCAAAGCTCAGACGGAAAGACAGTGAGGGGGAGATTTTGCTTTGCTTATCTGACCTGAAGAGACATCCTGATGCCCCCTTTTTGAGTCTTTAAGAGATGGAATTTGCCAGCACATGACTCAACATGCAGAAGTCCAGCTTATCCAATGGATGAGGTGGAGCAGGATGGGCAAGGGCAGAGACAAACACGGTCAGGTGAGAGGAGTGGGGCGCAGCGGAGAGAGCATGAGAGGGGGGTGAACGAGGCAGGAGCAGAGTGGGCAGGCCGTGTTCCCCTCGTCCAAAGGAAGGGATCACACTGAAATGGCCAAATCCACTTTCCAGAGAGTATCTTGCTTTAGGAATTCTTTCAATGTTTCCTCTAATCCCAACACGCCTTCTCTTACCAAGCTTCATCCCCAAACTTCGAAGAACTCAGGGCCACATTCTGCCATCCGGCATTTTGGAATGTGGCCATTGTGAGCTAGAAGGATGCCAGCCCCTCAGCTGGGCACGAGGAGCCATGTGCTGGGGTGGATGAGGGTCCCTAAGGGCTCCGTTCCAATGAGATCCTCTCTGGGCTGCTACCACTTGGAGAAGGAGAAGGTCCACCAGCCTAGCAGGGAGGGATGTGTCTCTTCCCAAGGCGGGGCCTCTAAGACTCCATGGGGACATTTCATGCAATGTGATTCCACAGACACGATGTCTCAGAGGCTCAAGCCAGTTTCTTGTTTGAATCTGAGTTTCATCTCTCTCCACTTCCTTAAGCATCTAGAAAAGTGGCAACATCGCTGTGGAGCCCCAGGCGCATGAAAGGGCTCAGCGTTCTGGGTCAGTCTCAACACCGAAGGGGAATTAGAAGTAACTATTCCTAATTGTGGAGGAAACAAACTCAGGCCACAAAGCTATGAGTTCCAGAAGGGCAGGTGATTCCCAAAGGACAATGCTGCTCTATGCAAACCAGGGGCGATCCCTCCACAACTGCAGGGCCGGGCCCCCAAACTCAGTCATGCCCAGAAGGGAAATCTAATCCTCAAGGCAACTGGGCCCTCGGTCCCCCATCCCATTGTGTCGCCCAGAGAAGTGGGCGGGGCTGGTGGGCAAAGGGAGCGGCATCCCGTGTCGGGGGTCCTGGGGTAGTCAGGTGTCTCCTTCATGTGACCTAGAAGGAACCAGGCCGCAGCCCCTTTCCACATCAGGGAGGAAGAACTTGGTTAAAAGTTTTCCTCTCTCCTGCAACATTTCTCTTTGAACCATGTTGAGAGCCATTTCTGCACTATTTCCTTAACTTCTCTGATGGAAGGTGCTCCTTTTCTATCTGCTCGGACAGCTGTGTGGGTAGGTGTCCTGTAGGCCACCACTCTGCCTCCTCTTAAAAGCAAACACACTACTCAATGCTCCCCTTGTAGGAAGCCACTCACAGGAAGCCACGCACTTGTCGTCAAACACAGATGACACGGAACAAAGCCCACGGTGAACAGCACTGCAAACCACCCGCTGTGTCATTTCGGGACGGCATCCTTCCGTGGACCTTCCTGACCCTTCCGTCTCATCACCTTTTTCCCTCCCCCGCCTCCCGAGCCCCGCTGCCTCCCCACGGCCTGGCCTCCCCACAGCTGGACCCCATGGTCTGTAGGTCCCTAGCCCAGAACAAAGGAAGGGGTGGTCTACCTTATAGGCCACTTTGGAGGGACATCTCTTGCCGAGGCCTAGCGGTGGTGACATGAGAGTCAGCATTTCATACATCTCAGTGTAATGGATGCGGCCACTGCTCAGGGAGGGGCGGCAGGTGGCAGGGAAAGGAAGTGGGGGAAGGATGCAGACGGGGGGTGGGGTGGGGGGGGAGGAGAACAGGCATTCCCAGAAGAGCCAACACAGACAGACCATACGGAACACGAGAGGAAAACAAAACGGAACGGACAAACAGGAAAAGAATAGGAAACCTGTTAATCAAGGCAAATCGTACAGGTGACTCCATCCTGGTGCGGGTTTATATCAGCCCCACACAGACCCGGGAACGCTAGTGGCACCGCCACGGGACTCGCCTGTCCGCTCCTCCTGGCCTAGCATTACCCTACTCCCCTGGCCACGCCTTCGTCCCGTACAACACAAGCCTGTCTCCATTCCCAGGGCTGTGTGCGCGTGGTATAAACCGGATAGACGGCGCTCCGGCCGTGGGTCAGAGTTTCCCGGCCTTCTCTCCTGCTCCGAACCCACGGGCGGGGCGCTGTGTATCCCTCTGTGCTGGGTGTGCAGCGGAGGCGGCGCCGTGGCAGTGGTGGCTGTGGCTGCTGCCGGGGTCGCCGTTGCTTCCACCTGGCCCTGTGGGGGGAGTGCCCTTGTCTCGCCAGCATGTCCAGGGCGATGGCACGCTGGAGGCAGAAGGACAAAGCCAGGTGGAGGAAGAGCACCTGCATGCCATGCTGCCCTCCCACTCTCCCGTCATGCGGCAGCAGGTGGCACCAGGGTCAAGTTTAAAGAGTCTCAGCAGAGGCAGCTGTTGGGCCTCCCGGGTACGGGAATCACTGCGTCACCATCCCCAGCCAGCTCCTGCCCGTCGCCCGGGGCCTCACCTTCCTGGGCCTCACCTTCCTGGGCCTACATCCTCTTCCAGCCTCCCCTCTGGGCTGTGCTGTGCCCCAGGGAGCCCCGCTCCCCTCCGCACCCAGCGAGGCTTCCTTATCTAGCGGGCTAGGCCTTGGATGCAGCTGGGCAGAGCCACTGGGATGTGAGCTCCCAGGGTCTTGCAGAGGGAGGTCCTGGATGCCCCTGAACATGTATGTCCTTAGCTTCACAAACAATAGACCTCCCCCCAACGCCCGCCCCTTGACAGTATATGGCAGGACATGTGCTCAGGAACCCACTGTCCTCTACTGTGACCTTCCTGGCCCCTCTGAGCTACTGAATTCTTCCACACGCCCCAAAGCGATCCCTGTTGACCTCCTCTCACCTCTTGCCCTAATTCTTCATTGTTTCTCACCTCCTCTCCTTCCTACAGCTTTTATAACTGTCCAGGCGCCAGAGGGCCGGCAGAGGTAGGGTGACTGGAATCACACCTGGGGACATTATATATGGGACCATGATGCTACTTTGCTAAAAGGAGGCGTGTCTGTCTCCAATGAGGGGAGACCAGAACTCTGCTTTTTAAAAAAGGTTTCTGCCTTCTCTGGTTAAATGTGCAGATTACAGGGGAGCGGGAAGAGTGTGTGTGTCCACCCACCAATGAGTGCATGGAGGTGAAGAAGAAAGTGAGAGGTCAAAACGGCCTTCATTATTAAGCCCTCAGCTCTTCCTTTTCCTGCGTCCCCTCCCCTCCAACCGTGCCCTTTTCCCCAATGTGACAGCTGCTGGTTCTGGGAGGGTTGGACCTCTTTAAACTCAAAGGAAAGCAACATGAAGGTTCCCTGAGGTGGCGCGGTGGTGGGTGGGGGTGGAGCGGAACAGAGAGGGGGGTCCGGGTGGCACCCCATCGTCAGGCGTGGCTGGGGACTGGGAGGCAAACCTTGCAAGCCACCCTGTAGGGGCAGTTCTCTCCCAGGCCCAGAGGCGGCGAGATGACCCGCACTAATTTGTACATATCCTTATACGGGATCCTGCCACTGAAAAGGAAGCAGAAGTGGGTTAATAGGGCACTCAGAGAAGGCGGGAAAGAAACGACAGCTCAGCCACGGAGGGCGTGGCCGGAAGAGGAAGAGCAGCTCTCCTTTCCGGGGCCGGGCACAGCCGGGCCAGGAGACGGATGCACCAAAGAGGCACCACCTTGCAACCTGCACTGCCCCCAATTTCCCAGGGCAATCGAGCCCGACCAGTGCCCAACGGGACTGCCTCCTGGCCAAGGGCACCCCGGGATACCTATCCATGTGGCCCACACCTGGCCAGATGCAGGAAATGGGCCCTGGCTCGAGCGAGGCCTGGAGGAGCACAGCCTGCCGCTTCACCACTGCTCTGGCTGCTGTCAAGCGCGGCTGCCGTGAAGTGGACGATGGCAGAACTGTTTGTTTTTCACAGTCACGGCCAACAGCCAGCTCCTCAGGCCCACGTGTCGGTGGCGAGGAAGTCCGCGTCTTTCTGCAGACTGCGAGACACACGTTGCCCATTAGCTAATTAGCGAGGAGCACAGTTGGCACGAGGGACGCTGCAAAGGGCTGTGCTGCTCTCTCTGGCAGATTTGTCTTGAGCTGGGCAAGCTCCCTCCCCTCCCCCCGCCCCTCGGGGAGCCTGCCCAGAGCGGTGCTCAGACAACAGCCCTGTCCCCTGCTCCACGTCACTGCCCAGCTCGCAGGCAGCTCGGTCTGATCCCGTCAGAATTCCAGGAACTATGAGACCTGTCTTACCAGCCCCCGTCCCCACGAGCCTGCTGCAGAGTTATGCTTCCTGTAAAAAGCTCAGAATCAACAGTTGATTCGTTTTCAGTGGCTAAAGCATCTGGTCCGTAGGCCAGGACAAGAAAGCAACAGCCAGGGGTCTGGACACATCCTGGTGTGATCAGCGGCTCTGCCTCCGAGTGCCAGGCCTCCCAGCAGCCGTGTGGAGACCTGGCCTTCGCCCCAGCTCCGTTCTTTCTGCCGGGTCTTGATTTTGGTGTTGATTCATCCTCCTCTTCCAAAGAGCAGCTTGTCAGTCCTTGAGAGGAAGTTAATCTGTCCATCTGTTTTTCTTACTGTGGATGGTTGGTTCTGCTATCTAGAGGCTGATGGTCTCTGGAACCCGTAGCAGCCTTCTCTTTGAAGACACTGACTCACTATCTTTGTCAGTCCCTTCACCCTCACCTCATAGACAAGGCCAATGAAACTCTAACCAGAACACATCAACGCCATGAATCTCAAAGCAGACAGAAGAGGTTTGCTTTTTCCTGTTTGCTCTCTCACAGCTCATGCATCTAAGTCTCAGGAGTAGTCCTCATGGCAGTGTTTCTTCCCAGCAGCTGGAATGAGTCAGGAGGGGCAGGTTTATGGCATCTGGGTCACAAGATCATGTGAATCCACAGGGAGCTGGGGTTTCTGAGAGCCAAGGCCGGCTGAGGGAGGCCAGGTGGGCAGTGACTGCCTTTGCTAATGGCTCAGGCTCCCAATCCGATGGCCATCCATGCTTTACAGATCGATAGTCCACACTTTCCAGTCACTTTCCTACATGGTTATTGCCAATGATAGTAACAGTTATGCACAACCAGCCTTCGAGGTTGGTATCATTATCACCATTTTACAGGTGAGGACACTCAGAGTGGGTAAGGGCCTTGTCCAAGGTCATGGAGCTGACAGATGCAGGCCTGGCTGCATTCCCCTCCAACACCCCGCCCTGGGCTTTCTAATCAGCCGACTACTAGAAAGTAAGCCCGGAAGGTAAAAGCCACCGCTCAGCGATTGGAACAGGAATGGACTTAGAGAACGCTGTGCCCGAAGTCACTACTAATTGCTGAGGGGAAGAGGACTTCTGAGTCACAGTTCTAACCTGTAACACAGTGGCCCAAGTTCAACAGCCTCGGGGAAGGACAGATCTGGGGAAGAGTCTCAGATGGGGAAGGGGTTCCAGGTGGAAGCAACATGGCCCGTTCCTGCAAAGGATGGCATTCCTTGTGGTATTTTCAGAGAGGGGCCCAGAAAGGATAGACTGGTGAGATTAAGTCCCCAAAGCGAAGATGACATGGGACAGGAAAGAGCCTGGGGAGAGAGCACTCACAGGACTCTCACCCGTCTTCAGCCACGAGGACCCAAAGGTTGCCCTTGAACTCTAAAGCAGGGATGGGTAAACCTTTTCTATAAAGGCTCACAGAGGAAATAGTATTGAATTTGAGGGCTATACAGTCTCTGTCATAACCACTCAAGCCTGCCTTGTAGTGTGACAGCAGCCTCGGGCAACCCACAAACAAGTGAGCATGGCTGTGCTCCAATATCACATTGTGAAACGGCATTGGGCCCCATCTAGACCCTGGGCAGGCATCGTCAACCCTGCTCTAAAGCCAGAGGGCATGACATCGCCGAAGAACTACTGGACAGTGAAAGAGAATGGTAGGTATCCCCACAAATCCCAACATTTAACTCAGTTTCATGCAATAGAATCCACAAGGGATCAGTCGGAAGGGCAACCTGCTTGCTTTTGTGTATACCTTCCGTTTTCTCACACTGGACCTTTTGAAAGTGATGAGAGGCATGAATCACTCCTGTCACTGACTGTGGTGGCCAGACGTCTGATTGGCCCAGAAAACCCTGGTCAACCCCGGTGATGACTCAACCATTAGGCAGGAAAAGAAGCTCCTCTGGGGATTGAACCCAAACACTCTGAGGAACCGACAGCGTGATGAGATTGGCAAAGAAAGGGACAGCCTGTCACCGAAGGAAAGAGAGGGAAAGGGACAGAGAAAAGCTACGTCTGATACCAGAGCCACGCTGAGGACCCGGCCTCTCCAACGGGCCACAGCCAAGAGGAGTGCCCTCTCCTCCTGTAACAGGCAAGCATTGGGTGGCTCTAATGCCAACCTCTTCTTTGAGAACTTGGCAGCCCCTCATACAGGCCCCAGTGGGATGGCCGAGCAGCCTACTCACCATGCAGCTCTGTCGTATTCTGCCCAGACGCGGACAAACTCATCCAAGTGGTGAGGCCCCAGGATGGACGAGTCCCGAGTCAGGTACTCGAAGTTGTCCATGATGACGGCCACGAACAGGTTAAGCATCTGGAGGGCACGAGGGGAGGGAAGAAAAGTTAGGGGAACCCGAAAGCAGAAAAACAGGCTTCAAGGCCAATCGACAATTCCAAAGTTTGTAAGGCTGAAGGCCCCGGCCAAAGCCTGTTGATCTTGCTAAATGCTTTGCATTTGCGTTATCTGTGCCACACAATTCGTTGTGCGAACAGCATTATTTCAGTTTTCTATTTGCAAAGCATTGTTATCTGTTCCATTTGTTTAACTGTTATTGTAGCGCGAGGGAGCAGCAGCGACAACATGCTCCAAGGCTGGAGAAAGCCAAGGCCTGACGCCCACTCTCCCTTCCTGCCCCTCCCCACCCCTGCTCCACCAAAGAAGTCAACAGAACTGGTGAGACCTCTCAGAGCCCACACCATGGCTTACTGCGTGCCGACTTGAAGCTATTCTTGGCTCTTGAGTGGCTTCCAAGACCCTGTTCTCCTATTTGCTTACTCAACAACATTTATTGTCTATCCCCTGTATTCCAAACAGACACCCAGGTGCAGGGGGTGGGGGTAAGGAAGTTCCGATTTTACCCCGGGGATCTAGTCCCATGCCTAACACACTGCTTAAAGCACGTGGACACTCTCTAGAGGTTGTCACTTGAGTATTCTTAAAGACTTAGTATTTAGTCAAGACTGCGACGTATTGCAAATATACAAACGTTACAGATTTTTGCCAAGAGCTAGGAAAGCAGCATCTGCAGGTGACAGTGGTAACAGAATTTGAATTTCATAAAATTTTCATGCTATGAAATATTATTCATCTTTGATTGTTTTTCTCTACCATTTAAGAATGAAAAAGCTATTGTGTTTTACAAATGCAGGTGGTAAATCGGGTTTGGCCCATGGGCTGCAGTATGCCTACCCCTGGTCTAGATTAGGCAGCTGGCAACAGGAATTACTGAAGGGGGGCAAACGAGGAGAGAGACCAGGGGACAGCTGTGTGCAGAGAGGACCCTCAGGAGCAGTGTTGAGGGGTAGCCATCCCTGAACCAAGCCAGTGGCAGGACAGCAGCCTAAACTGGACAGTTCAAGGAAGGGGAAGGGACAGGACTATATGGCCACAGTGAACAGCACTTGTTTTGTTGATTCCTGGCTGCCTAGCACCCGTTGACTGTATGTCTGCTCTTTTGGGGACCCACCCCTTGCCTATTCCTAGTTCATCTGGTTCAGTGGGGCACTCCCCTTGGGACCCAGCCTTAGCCAGTCATTGGATCCCATTCCTCTGGGCCACGGTGACTGGTGGTCCAATCAAGGCCAGTGAAAGGGTACTGAACCTTCAGGGCAAACACTTGTGCTTCCCTGTTGGTCTTGAACATGCAGGGACTGCTGCTGTGGTCTCGGAGCCTCAGGCTGGGCTGTTTGAGGAAAGAACTCCCATGGAAGAGCCCGGAGCAAGTGAGCTACGCTACACATACAGTGGAATACTGCTCAGCCGTAAATAGGAAGAACATTTACCCTTGGTGACAGCATGGGTCGACCTGAACAGCATTGCGTTAAGTGAAATAGGCCAGTCAGAGAAAGACAAATACTTATGATTTCACTCATATGTACAACTTAATGAACAAACTGAACTACCAAGCAAAAGATAGACAGACTCAGAGAGAGCAGGATGACAGCTCTGGTGGGGAAGGGGCTGTTGGGTGATGGTGAAGGGATTGAACAAAAAAGAATAAACTCATGGACATGGACAACAGAGTGGTGATTGCAGGGGTGGGTGGGTGGTGAGGCTGGGAGAGGGCAGAGAGGGGATAAATTGTGATGAAAAAATAAAATCGAAAAAAAGAAAAAGCTCTATAAATAGAAAAAGAAACTGACTCTGGTGATGCCTTCGGAGCCCCAGATCAAGCTGGCCCAAGCCCCCTGCCCCAGGACTCCTCATTGCCACATGCCTATAAAATTCCTTTCTGCTTCTGCCCATGTAGCCAGGCTCAGAGTCACTTGCAAGAGAAAGAGTCCTGCCTGAGACCAGTGGGCTGTGGGGGTAAGGGAACATGAGTCTCTGTTGCTGATTCCCAGGTTAAGTGGCTGGGTGGGTGCATGGAGGAGCGGTTATGCAGGTGGGGGTAACAGGATAAGGAAGTAGTCTACAGGAGGGACCTGTTAGAGTCTTCTCTGCAACACACAGAGAGACTGCTGGCACATCCTACTACGCAGCCTTCCTCCCTCCTTCCTCCCCACCCTCCCTCCCTCCCTCCCTCCACATAGAATGTACTAGTAAGTGGACGACTGAAGGTTTAGCCTCAAGAGGATGAGGGACAGCCCTGGAGGTAAAGGAGCAGAAAGTCTGGAGTGCTAACCACTATGGAGCCACCATCATGAGTCTGCACTGCCTCCCTCCAGATTTGCTGGTGCTCGAGGGAAAGAAACATCCCTCTGGATTAAGCCACGGTTACTCAGTTGTCTCATGCAGTTGTGTCTGATCCTAGCAAGGCCTCTGTCTGCCTCTGAGACTGGAGCCACAGTGAATATATATGCAATGGCTGCGTGGGTTACAGAGGGTTTTCCACGTATCCACACATCTTTTACACTCCTTTCTTGGTACCCATTATTCATGGTAACAAACACTCTTAGGTATTTATTATTGCTTTACGTTTGCCTATAGTCTTGTATAATGGTGTGCACATTCACACCTATTCTTTGTTTTAATGCTTGCCCTATGTTTCCATGTGGCAGCTTTCATCGTATCAGCCCTTCCAGGACCCAGCGCTTCCCACACACACTGGCATCCTTGGCTCTAAGCGCACTGCCTGGCACATCCCGCCCACCCGTACATCCCTCCGGGTGACTGCGTGGGGCTGAGAAGCTGTGCGACTCGCCCAAGGTCACAAAGTCACTCTCCTGCGGGGCTGAGATTTGAAAGCGGATCCTCTCAGACTGAACACAGCATGAATTTAAAAATAACAGTAGCGTGAATTATGCAGCACCCTCCATCTCAAAATTCTACCAGAACCTTTATAGTCGCTAATGAATTTTCCAGTTATATCTCTGGTTTCTTTTAAATATTTATTATTAAACATTTACACCACGTAGGATAAAACTGTGATGTCTACATGTCCTTCTACAGGCCCCATTTCACCCCATCTAAGCGCTGAGACCCCTGTATGCTTTTCAGCCTTCGACGGCAGGGGATGGAGGGACAGCTTTACCCCAGTGCCTAACCTTTTAATAACACTCAGTACAAACGTGCTGACCATGTGAATGAATCAACTTATAAAACACTGGAGGCACAGAGAGAAAGGATTTACTGGGGGTTACAACAGATTCAACATGAAGTTCACTGCTCTATTCACCGAGCTCTACTCCACCCAGGAAACCGCCCACCTTTCCAGGGCATTGCTTTAGTTTTTGGTTCTGGTACAGCCAGGGCCTCACCTTTTAATGACCACTCAGTACAAATATTCTGAATATGTGAATGAATCAACTTTAAAACTCCAATATCATTCAAAATTGCTTTTCAGTTATTTTCATTAGACGTTCCACTTCCATATTCCTAAATGGGATACTGTTTTGTTTTTCTTTTTAAAATCTCCCGCAGGGAGTTTACTGCAACACATGCATCTGCTCACTAAATAACACTCTTATCAAGTCCTTTTCCCTCCCGTCCCACAGAAGCTACAGTAGCAGCAAAGCCCAGAACTCAATGTGGGCTACTACCATGGCAGTTAGTTCACTCTCTGTCCATCCTCTCCCAGTCCCCCTCGGTCTAGCTGCAAGCCACTTCCCCACACCTGAGAGATGGACAGGTGGCAAGTCCCCCGAGGATCATGTTAGAGGCAGAAATGGCTGGATGAGAGACAATTCATTCACTTTGGGATGTCCGGCCATGAAACTGCCCACTTGCCCAGGGAACTGCTTGAGCTTTTGATTCTTGTACAGTCAGTGGCATTAGCACCGAAGCTGGGCTAAGGGATGTCAGGGTGGCCACAAACACAGGACTGGCCGTCACTGATTTAGCAGGGGCACCTCAGTCATCATCCTGTTTATCCCCACTGGTCAGATTATGCAGCACAGAGATTTCTGGATGCAAGAATGAAGGGGCACTTGGGCCCCTCACTATTTTGTAAGCAGGTGTGCTCCACAGATATCACTCAATATTCACTAATACCTGAAGCGATTAGATCCTCTCATGTCAAGCTGGCCACTGTCACTAAACATCCATCTACCTATCTATCTAGCTATCTACCTATATATATAAAAGTCAAGCAACCAGAACAACTGTAATGACCAGAATGACCAGTCGCTATGACACACACTGCGGTGGCCAACTGGCTGGATCGGGGCCCCAGTGGCCCCCCAAATCTCCTGAGGCCCCTCCCCCCAGCCAACCTCCCCCCGATCGCCCCCCCCCCAATCAGGGGTGGGGCCAGCAGGCCAACCTCCTGCGGCACCCCCCTCCCCAGCTGGCCCAGCCTCGATCGGCCCCCATTGGGGCAAGCCAGCCGAACTCTACCTGTGCACTGGGCCTCTAGTCATGACGTAAGAGAATTGCATCCATTATACTGTAGATTGTCACCACTCTACTCTTATTAATGCTATCACCTTATATTTTCAAGGTACCTTTTCTCAAACAGTTCAAAGGTCTCCAGAGAGAGAGAGAGAAGATGTTCTTGGCCTCATTTATAAAACATCCGAGGTACAAAAGAGAAAGGATTTACTGTGGGTTACAACAGATTCGACATGAAGTTTACTGTTCAATTCACTGACCTCTATCCCACCCTCCAACCCTTCCCATAGCCATCCTTCCTGGGGAAGCAGCAAACATCTTTTCAACCATGGATAGCCCCCGACCCGGGAGTCCGATAAGCACCGTGGCCTCCAAGAGTTCTCTTGAGAAAACCCTGGCTCTCAGCGTGGGCTGGAGCGTGTGTGACCATCCACCGAAGGAAACATCTCCTGACTGTTTATCAAGGTTGGGAAGGGCTGGGCCACATTTCGGGTTAAGGGCACAAGGCTACTCACCAAGAAGGAGCAGAAGAAGATGAAGGAGACAAAGTAAACGTAGGCCAGATCGGTGCCGCAGCGTTCATTCTCGTTCTGCCCGGAGGGCGCCGTGGTGTCGGGCTCACAGCCTTTCTCCCCGAGGCACGACAGCATTATCTCCTGCCAGGCCTCGCCTGTGGCACTCCTGAGCCCAGAAGACATTTTGGTGATTAGTTGCAGGTCTGCATGTCCTGTCCTCTCCTTGGCCTTCTCTCCCAATTCACCCACCCCTTCCTCTTGCCGTAGGCCCAACAGCTTTGCCTAGTAACCGTGGCTCTCATGCTTTCCATGCAGAGATGGAGAGCGCCAATGAGTCTCTCTCGGGTTCTGCCACCTCATCCACTGCTTCCCTGTTTTTGGAAGAATCTCTGCTGATCGTGATGGGACTTCCTGGGACCCCACACACCCGGCCATCCAAGGTTTCAGGCCTTAGCTGGAATTTGACCTGCAAGAAACTGTCCTCGCCTTCCCCCTCTCAGAGTCCCAAAGGACAAGCTGAAGCTGCAATTTGCAAATTCACTACTGAGTTAGAGATGACCCCCTGCTGCCCCCACGCCACTGCCATCCCGCTAGGAGCGGAGCAAGGGCAGTGAAGAGGCACAGGCAGTGGAAGGGAAGACCAGCTCCGTCCCCTCGGTGGAGGGCTAGGCTACAATAGTTCCGCATCCAGGCACCTGAAGAGCAGCATGAGGGACCCAAAGAAACTCCGGAAGTTGTTGTGCCGGTTGATGTGACTCTCCTCATCCAACTTTATGTTTCCAAATACCTGGAGAGAAAAGAACAGAAGGCAATGAGCACGGCGGAGCTGTGAGAGGCACCCAGCGCATGGACATGACATGCAGGGCTGGCACATCCACACGCGTGGCTCCTCCTGATGGCCTTGCCCTGAAGCAGACAACTCACACCCAGACAGGCTGGTGGGCCCCGTGCCCAAACCCGATAAGCAGGAGGGAAAAGAAGACCGTAGAAGGCAAGATCTGGGAAATCTTCCACCTGTCTGTCGTTCCTCCCACACCTAATTTGGTCTTTTTATTTCCATGGCACCTGTCACCATGGCACTCACCGTGTGCCTGCCACAGACATCACCCCATCGCGGAGTCTCTGCCTGTCCGGGTAGTGCTGATGGGGGCATCCGGATCTGCAGGTGTGACTGTGGCTTGGGAAGATGCTGCCCTCAAGCGCACAAGCAGTTTAGGTCAGAGAGGGGCACTGCTGTCTTCCTTGGCTGTGTTCCTACCCAGAGAGTCCATCTGTCTGTAAACTACCGTCCCCGAGGATGGGCTCACACAAAGCAAGTCCAGGCCAGAGGGATGAAGAAAGCCAGGACAATGGGCGCTCGGAAGAGGAAGACGGCAACAGGTTTGGGCAGATCTGGCTACGGAGTGAGTTTACTAATCTGCCCTTGGTCGCTGGGCTTGGTCACTAGGCAAATTCACATGAAAAAAGAGGTTAAAATCCAGAGCACGTCATCTGCAGACACCGAATGAGGATGAGCTCTCCAACACACTGTGCCCTGAGCCACGGTCACCCAAGGTCTCTTCAGAGGAGAAGGTGCCCTTCCATAGGCACTTTCCTCCCCAGCTGCGCTTCCGACATCAGGGTCTGGTCTCGCAAATCACCGTTTGCACAACTGAAGGCTCACGGGTCGCTTTCCCAGCCATTTGGGACAAATTTCAGCCTGTATCTAACATCTTTCCATTTATCTAATAGCTGCTGAATGCAACATATTCCCCCCATAACAGCTTTCAGAATGTGCCATTGAGGAACAAGCTCTCCCCCCAGCTACTTTGCTCGGATAACTCCCACTGACACCTGCTTTGGGAATGTGTTCTCAACATTGCTTCTCAAAACCCAAATACTACTTGTCTCTCAGGGAGAATGGAGGGGGCAGGCCAGGCAGGACTGGGGAAGTGGGAAGGAGGAAGATGAGAAGGTAGAGAACCCCCAAACAGACAAATAGCAGCCCTGAAAAAATCCCGAACAATCCAATCTCATTCTGGATGCCCCAGGAGGAAGCTGTCAGGCCCCCTCGCCTGTGTTCGCATCTCCTTCTCTCTCCTCTCTCTCGTCCTCCTGGCTCAGAATCCACAGTTTATCCCTGATTCACCACATACACCGACCTTGTGTACTTTCTCCCTTCTCCAATCATGACCTGGTTAGAGGGCAGGCCAAGAATTTGCATGAGGTATGTGTATAAACTTATACTGAATGTTCTCCAAGAAAATTTTCAAGCCAAATCGTGTATTTATCGTGAAAGTGGCCTTTCAAATTGTTTCCACTTTATTTTTTTTGCTTTTCACTCAGTCCTTGTCACTAACCCAAATCTCGTATATCAAATGGGTACAGAGCAGAAAGAAGGGATGCTGAGACCATCAGAAACTGACTGAACATATAGGCTTATGTCCTTTCACTTGGACTCACAGAATTGTAGAACCAGGCAGGACCTGTGAAGCTGTGTATCCAACTCCTCTACGGGACTGCTGAGGGTGTTAAGCCCAGAGAGGTTTGGTCACTTGACCAAGTTTGCACAGCTGGCCAGCGGTGGAGCTGAGGCTGGAAGCCTCGCCTCTAAGGACCTGCAGCCCAGAGCGCTTTTCCATACCCAGCAAGTTACTCCTTCCTTCCATGTTCAGATTCCTCTGCAAACTCTCTTCTCCCAAGATGACTTTGAAAGTTCAGAGTAACAGTCCTTCCCATAGAGACATCTTGTTGCGTTTACCTCTCTAATGCTCTGTCTACTGTCCTTCTGCCTTTGTTTGTAAGGATCCCTTTGCTTTGTTATGACAATATGAGATGCAATCTTTCTAGTTAAGAGCTTTGCATCTCTCTCTTGCGTGTATGTACATACGTGTGCATGCATACACACACGAAGAGAGAGGGTAAGGACATACATTTAGCACAGTGCCTGCCACACTCAGGAAGTTGAGTAATGGTGAACACTACCGCATTATCACCATTTTCAGTAGTATTAATAACGAGTTAGTATGGGAGATGGTGTAATTCTAGTTTATTTTGTTTGAAAATGAAAAAGGCGGTAAGAACTATTTTTCAGCATAAGCCAAAAAGAATGTAATTTTATCAAGTTCCATTTGGCTGTTCAAGAAGATTTTAATTCGAGATCCAAATATTCGGAAGTTCCAAAGGACTTAATAGAAGTCTTCAAGGCAATCTTCAAGGTCGCTGGGAGTTAGCTTCTACCACGCCCCGGACTTCACCGTTAAACCCCTGCTGACGTGTCCTCCATGAAGAAGATCTCATTACTTCTCAGCCAAGTCTCACACTTTCTGACACTTGGCTTCTATCATATAAACTCTCCAGTAATGGGGTTAGAAGATGAATGAAATCCAAAAGCGCAGGCGCGAGAGAGGAGTAAAAGGAGAGAGCCTTTCAGAGGGGCTCCGGAGGGGGCTGCTGACTGGCAGGCCTGGGAGACGTGGCCAGCGGCTCCTGGTGGCAGGTGCTGTGGAGAGGACAGCGGGCACCGTCCAAAGGGGGCCAGCCTGCCTGACTGCAGGGGGCTGCCACTCGGCTGAAGTTCTGTGCTGGGGCTCAGTCTCCCCGCCTCCAAGTCAGAGAGTTAGCCTCCCCGAGACAAGCAGAGAGCCTGTGTCCCCAGCCGGGTAGGTCCATGGGCTGCTGCTGTGTGTTTTCGGCAGGAGCCCACACACCCTAAATGACAGTTGCCTGTGAGAGACCTTTGGGCCTCTTCCGCTCAACGGGCCTTTGGCAACTGTAGGGATATCCAGGGTGGGAACCTGAGCTCCACTTCCCAATTCCCAAACCGGGAAGGATGTGTAACCAGCCAGCTGCACGGCCCTTTGAGAACTAGCTGGAATGTGGCCCTTGGCTCTAGAGCAGTGGTTCTCATCCTTCTGGCCCTTTAAATACAGTTCCTCATGTTGTGACCCAACCATAAAATTATTTTCATTGCTACTTCCTAACTGTAATGTTGCTACTGTTCTGAATCGTAATGTAAATATCTGATATGCAGGATGGTCTTAGGCGACCCCTGTGAAAGGGTCGTTCGACCGCCAAAGGGGTCGCGACCCACAGGTTGAGAACGCTGGTCTAGGGTTTGGCATGCTGCCAAGAACCTGGCAAACTGTTCCCCGGGGTGAGTTTCAGGTTGTAAATCTCAGTCATTCAGGATTTTACTCAGCCATATTCTGTGTCACTGTATACAGGAGATCAGCCTTTGACCTTTAAGGCCTGGCTCCCATACCCGAGACCCTGAGCAGTGGATCAGCATGAGCCCTGCCCCCTCCTTAGTCTCCTGGGCACCCTCTGGCCAAGAACACAGGTGCCACCTTTGCTGTGGTTTTGTTGTTGGAATCCAGCTGCTGTAAGTCATCACTATGGTCTCACAAACTCAGATGAAGCCCCTGTAACAGACCACCCTGCCTACCTGGGCAACCTGAGTGGGGAAGCCTGCACCTGGGAAATTCCCAAGGTCACATGGCAACAAGACCTTGGGAGCGTGCCCCTTTAACGCAGCCCCAGTCCTGAGTGCTCAGTGACCCAGAGACAGTCTGGGCACCACCTCCCTGACTAGGCCCCGTGCGTGCCCCCACTCACCTGCATTCCAATGATGGCATAGATGAAGAACAGCATGGCAATCAAAAGGCAGACGTAGGGCAGGGCCTGGAAGGAAAGCAGAGATATGACCAGGAGTTCAAAGGCAGGCAGCTCCCAGGCTCAACGGCCGGCAGTCACTGGCAGTACAAGGAGTCTTGTCTGGAGGCTGACGTATGCAGACTCTCTGGGGCTGTGTCCCCTGGGCCTGTCCTGTTTCGGGGTGCCATACTTTGCAGATGTCCACATCCTCTGATAGAGATGGGAGCTGTTGGCCACAGGGAGGCTCAGAACTTACCTTCTGTCCAGAATATTCCCTCGCCTGGAGTGTGGCTGGGATCTCCAGGGAGAGCTGGGAAAATTCCTGGGCCTGGGGCTCATCCCACTTTGCACAACAGAATATTAATAATGTGGGCCATTGTGATGCAAATTACACAACCAGCATCCTGCCCTGGCTCCAATCCTAGTGTTACCCTTTCCCATTCCCCCACTCAATGCGAAGCCCATGAGAAGAATCTATAAACAAACTCAAATGCTGGGGTCTCGGTTGTTTGTCAGTTCCTAGAAGGCTCCTTCATCCTCTGAGAAAACATCTTTTCTCAAAGTTTTAGGTTCCTGATATTCCCATACGTGTCCTGTAAAATCCCCAAACGCCTTTTAGGTGTCAGCCACCACCAAGCCCTGTCCAAAATCAGGCGGCACAAAGTTCCACACCGGGCAAGCGAACTGCCGATGAGGGATGACATCTCAGTTACTGGGGTGAAGGGGGCCAGGGAAGGAAATGTAAGGCAGGAGACTGCCCTGGGTGGCTGGGCGCATGCGCACAGGGCAGTTGGGTTCGGGGGCCAGGGTGGGCACTGTAATTCTGCGGTGATCTCAGTGCTGACGTGCAAATCCCTCCTTTATCGTCCAGGAAGCTCCCCAAAAGGCGGCACAACTAACTGTGCGTCTCCACTCTATCTTGAGTGTGGACAGTGCAGATCCCAGGGGATCAATTCCAGGCTTTCAGCCGGCAGGAGCCGCAGGGCTCACCAACAGATCTCACCGCATGGAGAGCCCTGGGAGACTCTGATAATGTGAGTAAAGGGTAAAAGTTGGTGGGAGAACCCGCTCTCCAATGAGTGATGACTCCAGAGATCTGTGGGTTGCATTTCGAGGGGCCATGGGAGACTCCCTCTGCTCAAAGGAGAGAGTAGGAAGGCAGGTTGCTTGCCACCTTGGTGTGCTACCTTCTCCCAACTTCTATGTTCACCTCCTGCCCTTATTCTACCTTCTCTCCTCCAAGGGCTCCAGGCCCTAGTTCATCTCTCCCTTCCTACAGCTTTGGAGAGAGGACTGAAGATTCATTCTGATCTCTTCTTTATCACCTCATAAATGCCAACGCAGTAGTGCAGACCTGGGCTGAGCTCAGGGCTGGGAGGGTGGGGACAGGCAGTGCCATGCTGTTTTATATTGTGTGGCCCCTGCTGTGTATTTGCAGAGGCAGCCTTTGTTTGCCAACGTTGGGAAAACAACTTTTAAGCCTGTCCCAGGACTGTTCCAAAAAGGAATCACCTACCCGTCACAGTGTCACCTGTCTTCACCAGTCTGTGTATTCACCGAAATAAGCCAACCATTTGGCCATCAATTTTTGACAGGCCTTTTCTTTGCCCTACATGGTGATCACGATAATATGACAGGCTGACACATAGTTCTTAAGAGACTCAAGAACAAATGATAGCTTGTTGGGGTGGCTTCTAGAGAAAAAGGTTTAAGAGCATCTGGTTTCAAATTCTAAATCTGAATTCACCCGAGACTCGTAGTAAATTCTCACTAAGGTTTTAGATTTCCCCTCTGCCAGTTAGCTTTGGAAACGTGGTTTTCCAAAGGCCTCCGTGGGAGCTATCACATCAAACAGTTACTCTGGATACAGTAAGAATGTCAAAGGTTGCTCCGAGGAGCCTGAGTGAACGTCCTTACGACTGGCCTCACATCTCACACCTCAAGCCCGTGGGTCCTGGATGGAGAAGTGAATCAATGATGAGAGTGAAGGATGAGAAACTGAAAACTCTTTATCACAGCTTGGACTTAAAAGATAAGTGTGGGCAAAAGAGGGTTTATAGTTGCACTGTGACATCCTCTTGAGTTAATAAAGCTATTGTAAATAATCATAACCTGCATGTCTTTTTCCACACAAACAACTGTAAACCTAATTTTGCCCACCCCATATATAAATAATTAAAACAAAGAAGACAATTCTGTGATTTCTTATCTTTCAATCATTAAATAGCATCAAATTCATTTTTAAAACACAGTCATGGAAAAGCTTGTTTTTGTATAAGAGGAAAATAGTAGGCATTTGAGTAATATTTAGGCCCCCAGAACCTTAAAAATAACTAATTTTGGCCCCGGCTGGTTTGGCTCAGTGGATAGAGCGTCGGCCTGCAGGCTGAAAGGTCCCAGGTTTGATTCTAATCAAGGGTACATGCCCCGGCTGCGGGCCCGATCCCCAGTATGGGGTGTGCAGGGGGCACCCGATCAGTGATTCTCTCGCATCATTGATGTTTCTATCTCTCTCTCCCTCTATCTCCCTCTATCTTCTCTCTCTGAAATCAACAAAAATATATATTTTTAAAAAGCTTCCCTTTAAAAAACAACAACAGCTAATTATGGTATTTGCTAGAGCCTGAAGATATTTAAATAGGTTTGGGAACTTCTTTTACTGGAAGTCTCTGCCATTAAAGTGGGTCTCAGGTATTGGTATTCCACTTAATCACACATACACCTCTGTACGTTCCAAAGATGCTCCCCGTGCTACCCTTGCCAGGCATCCTGTCGGTATACAGGACACAGAGGCAATCGTGAGCACGCCACACACCCAGTGGCTCAGGAAACACGCTGATGAAGACGTGCTGGGACTCGTCTTGCTGTAAAAGAGACCTCAAGGAGTCCTGTTCTGTGAGATAAGGCCACTGTCACGTTCCTGAAAATGCAGAGGGTAAGTGACTACGGTGGCTGGCTCTATACATGGACAAGGTTTTGGAATGCCTCCTCAGATAAGCTCCCTGCCTCAGTGGACAGAAGAGATAATTGAGTTACAAAGTTGAGGTGTTTTTCTAGAATGAGATGCTATCCGGTCAGACATAAGCTGCCTGCTGTGCGGCCAAGCTGTACTGTGTGTATCTACTGCTCCTGACACCCCCCCGTTCCACCAGCATCAGAGGTGAAGGGACTTGTGTAATGACGCTGTGCTGCCTGGCTGTGCTGTCGGCCCTGACAGGGCCACCCCGACCCTCGGAGAGGAGGAGCGGGTGCCTCTCACCTTGAAGGACTGCACGAAGGTCCAGAGCAAAATCCGGATGGTGTAGCCCTGACGCAGAAGCTTGATGAGGCGGGCGGCGCGGAAGAGCTTCAGGAAGCTCATATTGAAGCCGCTGGTGTTCACCAGCTGGAGGACCGAAAGGAAACACAGAATTAGTGGCATTAGAGTCATTTAGAAAACAGGAGCACTAGTTAGTATTTACGTATTTACCCCTCATTCAGATAATAAAATTGGACATGGATTCTGTCTTTCGTGCTTAACCCATCTCTGGCTGATGGGCCAGTGAGGACCATCTCTCCCAGCCTCCCCAGGCCTGCCGTCTATTCCCAGGAAGAAGGTGGGGGTGGGGTGGGGGGGAAGTACCCTGGAGGGTGCCCTGTGTTAGACAGAAACAACCTGCTCATCTTCTGTAAGTGGTCCTAACTCTGCACTTAGATGCTCAACGAACTGATCTCCTCCAACATTCTAAGAGAGCTCCTATGAGCTCTCCAAGTCTTCTTTAGGATGAAAAGTTTAGGGAAACGATTTGGGTCTAACAACTTTGGGGGCAAAAATCCTAGACACCAGGTCTCTTCTGGTACTCTCTCTATCCATTCCACTCACTCCAGGAGATGTCTGCTATGTGAGTCACGCAAATGAAACAAGGCTTCCGGGAGATCCGGGGCCCTCCGATGTTGGCATTTTCTGGCTAGAGCTCAGGAGTGAGGAAGTGAACCCCCACTCAGAGGGCTACAGGTTTGGTTTGATGCGTTTAAAACAGACTGAACGTGCGGAGGGCTTTTTTAGATGCTACTTCAGGGTCAAGCTTAAAGACCAGCTCTACGAGCCATGCACCTTGCTGTCCGTCAGAACGATTTCTGTGATGCTGCCGATCACGGTGATGAAGTCGAAGATATTCCAGGTGTCTCGGAAATAGTTCTGCCAAGAGAATTCAGTGATGGGGGCATCAGAAAAAGGAGGGACAGAAAACCAGGAAGAAGAGAAAAACTGGGGGAAAGATAACTTTCATTACATAACTTTGTCACTTGGAATGGAAACTTGTTAATTTATGTACAAGTTCATCCTATCATTGGCTTCAGTTTCCTATTTCTCACCAGAAATGCTATGTCTCCTTTACTAATTTGGGAATTTCTCATTCAGGAAGCAGTCTCATCACTATTTGAAGACCTTGTTATTGAAGGTGTCACGGAAAAGCTCATATGTAAGGAAGAGATTTGTGGCCGAGAACATCATAAATCCCAGAAAAGAAAGATCATTGTCACCTACAAGACAATCAAATTATTTACAATATTATTTCAAGGATTTCTACAACTATAACTCTATCCATCTTGTATCACGTGACCCTATAAATATACAGTTCTGACTTTCCATTATTAATAAAAGCCACAGAGATGTCCTAAGTGACTAGAGATGAAAGATGTGCCAAAATCCCCTCTAACTCCATTGAGCCTTTCAGACCAATGGCTGATTTGCAATAGGATGATCAGACTTGGTTTCCCCTCTCTTCCTCTGCTCTGTTACTCCTTTCGAGGAGGTGTAATGAAATAAAGTACAAGGAAGCAGTAATAAAGTGAGTGGGTTGAAGGAGATGGAGGAGAGACAAAGAAAATCCACCAATCAGGTAACACTCTGCCTAAAAGTGGATTATGCGGCCGTTTCCAGGGCTCAGGTGAGCAAAGACCTTGGACTGTGTTCCTTAAAAGACACAGGACACACAGGTCTCCCAATGTCACCTGCTTGCCCACAGCTCTCTCATAGCACTATAGAAGCGCACCCCCTCCCATCCTTACGGCTGGCATCAGTGAGTCCTTGCTGTGTGCGCCAGATACTGGGCCAGGCCCTTGGCATTCATTCGATTCATCTATTCCTCCTATGGAGTCTACAGGTAGATAGTGATACCTATGTTCATTCAGCACTGAGTGGTAGGGTTGGTAAGAACAGTGGGGAGAGACAAAGATAGGGAAGGAGTGTGGGGAGATGAGCTACGTATAATGAACACCTACTCAGGACTGGAAGCCTTAGATGCCTTGGGCATACTGCCTAATTGGATACACACAACAAATATCTGAGGCTGCAAGGTAGCTATTGTTATCCTCATTTTATGAATGAGCAAAACGAGGCTTTTCCGATTCCCAAGTCCTATGTACCTGCCAGGCATACAGAGAAACTGGAGCACACAGCCTCATAATCACACTTTCCATGGCGAATACCTACTCCTTCATAACTGCAGCCGAGGTGAGTCTCCAAGTTCCTCCTATCCCCACCCTGGGGCAGCTGCCTAGTACTGGGATCTCGCCCCATAGAGCAGAGAGAATACAAAGCCGGGTCTCAGAGGACAGAAGACCTGGATTCCAGGCGAGGATGCTTTCCGACAGTATGGTAGAGCGCCCACAGTGTAGTCAGAATAGTACGTTACGGTGGACAGAGTGTGGGCTTCCCAGTCAGCCAGACCCGGGTCTGAATGCTGGCTCTGCCCTGTAGGATCCCTGGACAAAGCACTCGATCTGCCTGAGCCCTGGCCCACCCATAAGGAAGACCACTGCCCATCGGCTAGAGCTGCTATGAAGCTGAAATGAATAATATGTCAAGTATTTGGTACTTAATAGACAACCAGTATATGTTCATTCTCTCCCTCTTTTTCTTCCTTTTTTGTCCCCATTACACTTTCCAATTCTACTGCCTTTAATTGTGTAATCCTCAAAAGAACTACACAATTTTTCTGACCTCCCATTTCCTCATTTAAATGAACAACAATAATGCTAATGATGCTATCTGCCGTGGCTATTTCAGTCACTGAGAAGACCTGACACGGTGCATGTTAGGGTATTGAACACCTAGCCGTGGTCGGCAAACTGCGGCTCGCGAGCCACATGCAGCTCTTTGGCTCCTTGAGTGTGGCTCTTCCTAAGCCTTAGGAGTACCCTAATTAAGTTACTTACAATGTACCTACCTATATAGTTTAAGTTTAAAAAAATTGGCTCTCAAAAGAAATTTCAATCGTTGTACTGTTGATATTTGGCTCTGTTGACTAATGAGTTTGCCAACCCTGACCTAGAGCACTCTATCAACGTAAAGATGTGCCTGGAACTAGTGGTGCTTTTCATAGTGTGGAGAGGCCTCGAAACCTTGAATGACAAAGTCTGTATCCAGCATTTACCGTAATTAGACACGTAATTGGGGACTTAAGTCACAGGTGACACCAACGCCACATGCAAGTAATCAAGATGCACAGGGAGACCTCCCTCGTTGCGGTACCACTTCTCTATCACCCCGCTCACCCCGCACTCAGGGCTAGACTGTATTATCCAGGCATGTTTGTTGGTGGTGGTTTCTTTTCACTCTTTTATTTCTCCAAGTCTCAAGTCTCAAAACACTCAAAAGAAAGTGAGGCAAACAACAATGCGGCCACCTGCAATGGGTTTCCTTCCACTCTCCTCCCCAAGCCATCCAATTAATGACTTTTCAAAGGGCCTTAACAGAGCAAAGGCAACCCCACAATCAGCACTCGCAAGGGAAGTTTCCCTTCTTGCAGAGAAACCCGGACACACGTCTCGTTTGGAATGGAAGCTCACATGAAATCAGGGGGAAACAGCTGTCGAGTGGGTTTCCCTGCAGCCCACTGGTCTCCCTGTAAACGCTGAAGCAAGGGGGCAGGGGCTGAGAGGACTCTCTTGTCTACAGGACATTGAGGCACTGGGCTAGGTTCGCTTAACGCTCTGGAGAGCAGATGCAAGAATGTGCCGATTATAATGAGTAGTTGAAAAGTCAAAGGAGGACTCATACCAGAAAAACTCATCCCAACCCTTCCCAAACCCAGTTCCAGAATACACACACCTCTCTCTCCCGCCCACACACATACACACTTCAAAGGTCATTAGCTTTTATAAGCTTAATAAACATTTTTGTTGGCAGAAATTACTCTTCGTGTGACTAAGGGGAGGAGGCACATTAGGTAAAACCTATTATCAACTATGTTTGAGGCTAAGAGGGACAGCTATTTTCCCATTTGAGTTATAAAATTTTATGCCTTTTACAGTAAATGAGCACTCCAGGTTTATTAGTTCAGTCCTTGCTTTGCTCCCTAGCAACAGATAAATCGCTAAATCGCAGTGCTAGTGAGACCACTGACTGTCACCCCTCGACCACTCGGAATCGGACAGGACCAGAGCTGACGGCTGGATGAGTGTGGCGCTCTCCTATCCTTTGCCCTTTCTCCCAACCCACCATCGCCTTGTCTCCACGGCAGTTTACTGAGCAGCTAGTGGAAAGGAGCCCACCATCAGGTGGGTAGGTACACGAACCGTGTTTGAGTAGTGGCACCCACCCTCCTTCCCACAAAGGCCAGGGAGCCAAATGGGCTGAGGATACATGCCATCACGTACCAAGAAGCCAAACGCGATGATCTTCAGGACACATTCCAAGGAAAACACCATGGTGAAGGCGATATTCAGGTACTTCAGGGCCAGCTCATAAGTACAGGGCGCAGAGTAGTACTGCCAGGAAGAGAAAAGAGGAGAGAAAGAACCAACCCTTAAAGTGAGAGGGGTACTCTGTGTCCCCGAGGCTGGCCATCTCCCACCCCTGCCCTCGGGTGAGAGGCTCCCCACCGCTCACTTTCTGCTGAAGTGTGTTCCCAGGAGGCCCACGCGACCTCCATACGTAGCTCTATTCTTCCTCTCATACCCTTGATTGTGGACTGGACCCCTGGTAGCGGGGTGTGCGGGAGGCAGCCAATTGATGTTTCACTCACATCCACATTTCTCTCTCTCTCTCTTTCTCTCTCTCTCTCTCTCTCTCTCTCTCACCCCCCCCCCCACCCCCCACCATTCCTGGCATTCTGGCACATGGCGCAGGAGAGACTGACATGGAATTATGCAGAGAAGACTTACATATTCCATAGGGAAGATTTACATATTCCATAGGGAAGAACGAAATAAAACTGAGGGAAACACAGACCCTCCCCCAAGGCTACTTATTAGCAAAAGCCAGTCTTCTCAAGATGAAGGTGGGCAGGACAGAAACCTTTTCCAGAGTTAAAACTTGCCCATTTAGTATTAAACAAGGTCAAACCTCTCCCAACACTCCGTTAGAACCCTGTGATCACCTACATCTCCGCAAATTTCCACCCTTGTCTGAAGCTCATTGCCATCACAACCTCTGGTCTTGGGAACTACTGGGAAGCTGCTATGTTTCACTGTATTTTGCCCCAAAGACTCAGAGGCTGGGCTATTGATGGAGAGAAGATCAAAAAGAGAATCCACGACGGAAAAGTAGGTAAGGAACCTCACACTGGGAAGGTGGGGTGTCTTGGGTGAACACGCAATTGCTCCGTGAGGGAAGAGTCCCCGAGGTTCGCCTGCCCCAGTGCCTCCGGCCACCACCCTCTCACCTTCATCATCAGCACGATGGTGTTCAAGGCGATCATGGCCATGATGGTGTACTCAAAGGACGGAGACACCACGAAGTGCCAGACGCGGTACTGGAAGGTGTGCCTGTTCTGCGGCATGTAGCGGGTGAGCGGCTTGGCGCTGATGGCGAAGTCGATACACGCCCTCTGCAGGGAAGTCGTGATTGGTTATTGGCCCAAGCCCCAAGCCCCCAAGCCTTGCACATTCGTGGCTCTGTTAGGTGGCTAGAAGAAGAGGACAGCGTATAAAACGCAGGGTGGCACAAGCAGATGTAAAAATGGCAAGAGGGATTGTCTGGACAACACTGTAGGTGACGTGTCACCTTAAATGAATACACAGAACTGTGGGGCCCTGTCACATGGGGTAAGGACTTCATGGTTATTAATAATGTCCTTTTCACATGGCGTGTGGCGAAGATGCTTAGGCAGGAAGCCTTATCTGATGCCCTCAGTCAGAAGGCAAAATCTCTCTATGCGTTCCCATAGCACTTGATGCACTTCCCTTATAGTCCCAGTTTCTAGTTCAGTTCCATTATAAAACAACAAACCCTACAATCTACCAGAACTATGCTTGTTACTAGAAAAGCAGTTGTAAATGAGCCATATCCCCTTCCTTTAGAGCAAACATGCGTCGCAGAGCAACACAGCCAGGTGGCCAGGTGTCTTAATCACCCCCCACCGTACAGCACACTTCTGGACTCTGCACGGCATCTATAGGCCTTCCACAGAGCGGATGCTCAAAAAAGTTTACTTAACGACCGAGTAATTTCCCCACCTTCTCCCTATAAATATTAAGTTAAGGAAACTGCCTTCCTTCCCAACACTGCTGGTCTGAGTCCCTTTCTGGTGCCCTGCCTGCCCACGCTGCAGACCACCTGACCTACCTCGTTCTTCTCCAGGCTGCACTCCTCCATCATCTTGTCCCCTTGCTCCTGGAAGGTGATGATGATGAGAGCCACGAAGATGTTGACAAAGAAGAAAGGGAAGACCACAAAGTAGACCACGTAAAAGATGGACATCTCCATGCGGTTGCTGCGGCTCGGGCCTCGGTCTTCCTCCGTCACATCGACAGAATGCTGCAAAACCCTGTGGGGACAGGATGAGGGGGCACAGATGGTGGGTGGCCGTCTCAGCCGCTGCTCTGACTCAAGGCTTCAGTAGGAGATATGCCACCGATTATATTTTCTTGTCTGGCCCCCTTGACTGTGCAGAACCTCCATTAATATATTTGGGGTCTATAATAACCAAGTTGGTGGGGATTCAGTGACCCTCAACCCACTGCTTTTCTAGCCCGCTCCATCAGGCATCCAACTTCTAAGCAACAGTGACATTATTTGATAGTGTAGGTTGTCATATTCAATACCAAGAGACTCCTGATTTCCACTTGGCATTTTGCTGCCAACTAGAGCATGCTGCTTCCAGAAAGGGGCATCTTAGTAACTGCCAAGTCTCTGAGAAGCCACTGTACAGCTATGGGTAGCATAAAAACCTGTTCTTTCCTGGCCGGTGTGGCTCAGTTGGTTGGGCATCGACCCACGCACCAAAAAGTTGCCTGTTCAATTCCTGGTGAGGGCACATGCCTGGATTGTGGACTGGACCCCTGGTAGGGGGTGTGCAGGAGGCGGCCAATTGATGTTTCACTCACAGCCACATTTCTTTCTCTCTCTTTCTCTCTCTCTCTCTCTCTCTCTCTCTCTCTCTCTCTCTCTCTCCCTTCCTCTCTTAAAAACAATAAAAAAATCTTTTGGAAAAAAAGAAACGACATTGTTGTCTTCTTTAGAAGAGGTGTGATCACAGAAAGTGTCTCTGTGTTCTGCCAGCTCATCCCTAAAATCCTCAAATCCTCAGGTGTAGGGCGAGGTTGGAGGTGAAATCTGTTTAAAACAACTCCCAGGGACTCTTGTAAGGGATAGAAAGCTGTTCAAAACTTAATTGCTCTATAAGAGTACAATGGGTCCACTCAACTCCTCAGTACTTGGCTAAAACATTGAAAGTTTCAAATATTTCCCAGACATTGTCATCTCCCTCTCAATTCTTGCCTTAAGGATTCCCATTCTTCCTCTCTCCTGCCTCTCTCACCCACTCAGAGCCACTTACTCTCCCTGGTATAATAACTAAGGGTTACCCTGGTTCATCTTGAATCGGCTTCTCAAAGGCAACCACATGGTCCCACCCCAGCTCACAGACAAGCAAGCTCGTCACTCACTGAGGCCATCCTTCCCCCGTGGAGACAGTGAAGAGGGTCAGTAGAGCCCAGATGATGTTGTCGTAGTGGAATTCATGGCGCTTCCATTCCCGACCTTTCACCTCCATCTTGTTTTTCTCGTGATCTACGTAGTTGCCTCTAAAATCAGTGCAGAAATGAAACAGAGCCCCTTCACTATAGCTCACAGGGAGTCAGGGAATTCTATGGACGTCAGTGATGCAGGGCAACTGATCAGCGCACAGATGCAATGAAAAAGGAATTTTATTCAAGGCAGTGTACCACTGTGGAATAAAAATGGGATTTGGTGCCCAACAGACATAGAAGATTGATTCCGAATCCTTTCAGTAACTTAAACTTTCAGAACCGCAGCTCCACATCTAGAAGATGCAAATAAAACCTATCTCAAAAGGTGGTTATAAAGATTTAAGAATTATATATATATATATATATATATATATATATATATATATATATATACACACACACACACACATATGGTAGAATGCCAGGTACCATGTCGGATACAAAAAAGATTCTATATACTCAATAAAAGTTTAGCAACCTCCCATTTTGCCTTTTTCTAAAAGAGAAATGTGAAGGGTATGAGAGAAAGAATAGAGCTATGTATGGAGGTCGTGTGGGCCTCCTGGGAACACACTTCAGCAGAAAGTGAGCGGTGGGGACGGGATGCATGGTGGCACTTACATGCACTCCTTCTCTGTGTCCTTGGAACTGTCCGTGCAATAAAAGAACTTTCCCTTGAAGAGCTGAACGGCGATAACAGCAAAGATGAACATGAAGAGCTTGTAGACAATGAGGATGTTGAAGACGTTCTTCAATGAGGTCACCACGCAGTCAAAGACAGCCTGTGCACAGAAGAGCCCGGGGTGTGAGTCCCGGAAGGGCCTGCGCGTTTGCCTAGAGCTGAGCCAGCCCACTGAGAAGGTGCCTCAGGAGACATCGCCTTGCTAAGCAGTGACACTCATGGGATTCAGAGCTGGCTTCCAAGCTGGTCACGACTACAAGGACCCACCACCTGAGAAGGGGACACATGCTCTGAATCTGACAGCGACCCCAGAGCAAGAGAGACAGATGCATCGGGCAATGGAGGAATTCCTTTGAGGAACCCCATTAGGTGTACTCTATTTGGTGGGAAGACAGAAATTTATTGCAGAAAGGGATCTTTGGGTTCGTTCAGCCCATTTCAGCCATTAAATAGCTTGTTCCCTGATCGTGCATGTATTTGGTGACATTCTTAGATTTGATTTGTATACTGAATATGTCCTTTTCTCTTTACCTTTCTAAATGGGTTGGAATGAAATAAACTATCATCTTTGTCCATTTTAATGCAAGTTTGCTCCGATTACATTCAACCCTTCACATAAATGTTCTCCAGTTGAAAGCTGGGATAAAGATGTCATAGGTGGTATGGGAAGGGATGGACAGCCACCCTGGGGTGGACATGGAAGACCAGGTGCGCCAACGCAGGATATTCAGTTAAAGGGGCACTGGATTCCTCTTGGGAGAAGCCGCTCTAAGTCCGAAGCCATGAGAAGGAACTTGGACCTCAACACATTGCAAGCCATTTTTAGGTTATTTTCTAGGTTTTTAGGTTTAGCTCACTGGAGAGTCTGGTGCACGGTGGCATCGCATCTCTGCAGTCGCTCTTCGCAGGGCGGGTGAACACTGCTGGTGTAATTAGTTCAACACTGCAGGGACTGTGAGTGACATGCAGCCTGTGGAACCGTCAGAGCCATCCACATCTCCCTCGGTGACCGAGCGACAGAGAGAGGAGCCAGCTCTTCTTCATTAAACGGAATTAGCCAAGGGTGGGGTCGCCCTCCAGTCTGTTAACTAATCGCATCACGCCACCTGTCCCCTCCCCAGGACCCCACATAGGGTGGAAGAGATGAGACACAAGACGGCAGCTACCAAGAGAGGTCAGGGCCCAGGTCTCCCGGCCAAATCTGGTTGGCGTGGGACAGAAGGGAACGAATGCCTGTGGGCACTGACCCAGTCCAGGCCCAGTGCTGGGCCCTTCACCAGGTGGAGGGCTGTAACAAGCAGCACGTGAAAGACTGCCCGGCACTGTGGGAGGTGCCTCCTCCTGGCGGGAAGGCAGGGCCAGGGAAAGCAGGCAGTGAGGGCACTTCCTGTGGGGCATGAGCCTCCTGGGAACCTGTGCAGGTGACCAGGGCCCTGGGCTCTAAGAGGAAGCCGTGGCCCTGCCAGGTAGGGGGCTTTCAGAAGTGACTTCCCTGCTGTCCCAGCCTTTGATAAATCCAGCTGGTTTTGCTGCCTCTGCAGAGCCGGAGGGCGGAAAGGGAAACAGTGTGCTGAGGGCAGCATGGGGGAGGCAGAGGGGTTGGTGGGGAATATTCTAGAATATGTGAACCTAATGAGGAAGGGGAACTAGGAAGCAGGGTTGGCTGTCATTCACAGGAATTCAGGAGACAACTTTTCTCCCAGGAAACTTCCGCTTCCATAGCAGCCATGGATGTGTGTGGGAGAGGCAGGTTCAACATGTAGCAAACAGGACTGGACTGGGGAAGCACACCCCGAGGTCAGGAAGAATCCGGGAGGGCACCTGTCAGGAGCAGCAGAACCAGATGACCTGCCTGTGCAGGCAAACACAGCTCCTGGCAACAGGAAGACCCTAACTCACCCTAGCTCACTTCCCCGTTTCTTCTCTGCTTCTGCCACAAATGCCTCTGTTCTTGGGCAAGCGACTGACCTATCAGCGCCTCAAAAACAGGAAGGGCCAGTGCCAGAGTCTGTCCTGCTCCAGAACCTCAAGGAGGGAAACACCCTGGTTACCTGGCCTGACCCAGCGTGGAGACCGCAGACAGCGGCCCCGCTGCTTCCATCTGGGGAGGCTCCGGGACAGTCACACGGTTTTTCCTGAATGACAAGCCACAACCAGAGTGTATAAACTATCGCCTGAGGCCGAATGCAAGAGGCAAAAGCCCCTTCATAGATTTCCTGGGATGCTGCCAGGTAGATGAAAAGAACCTAGGTCCCCATGTGCGCAACAGGACTATTCCCAGATACAATTCTACAAGAGCAAGCCAACCGTGGCTGCAGAGAGAGGATGGGCAAAGGGGACTTGTTGGGAAGAAACTCAGAGAGCATTACCTTGAGCTTGGGCAGGCGCTTGATGGTCTTCAGAGGCCTCAGCACGCGGAGCACCCGCAGGGACTTGATGGTCTTGATGTCCCGCCCCTTGTTGGTTCTGCAGGGGAAAGACCCCCGGGGAAGCCCAGGACGGGGAGAAATGAAAGTGACATTCACATTTCTGCATTAACCACGGAGTAAAGGGGGAGAGGTAGGCCAAAGGCCAGGACTCGGGTCCTTCTGGGAGACGCCACAAAACATGCATTGGGAAACTTTTCAAGGCACTCCCCAGTGTGCACACTCTCATATGCACACACACATAAGTATCCTCACATAGAGGCACACACGCACACACACAGAGGCATCCATGCACACATGTTAATGACCACTTCCTCTCCCTATCAGCCAGTGGAATGTTGCTAAGTAGCTCACTGGCAAAACGAACAAGGAAGAGAACTTGACTAGGGAACATGATGGTCACACACTGTGGGTCCCCGCGGTGCCCAGGCTACTGCTTCTGCAGTGGTAGACTCGCCGATGACATTGGTTAAAGGAATTAGTACCCCATGGTTGAGAGCAAGTCTCCTTAGGGGACTTGACCTCGCCCTGTCTTTGGCTCTAGGTTTGTCACCTCAGCAGAGCTTGTCAGCTCAGGGGAGAGCAGGGTGAGGAAGGCTGGTGGGGACCTGACACCCTTGCTGTGCTGGGCTGCCTATTCCAGAGACGGCATGTCATGCAGGCTTCTTGCCAGGACCTTGGCTCACACCCCAGTGATCCGTATGGCTGGCTCTTCCCGCAGTCCCCGCCCCCCCGTTTCAGATGCTGTGCGCCCAGCACAGACTGCAGAGAGCCCGCGCTGGGAGAAGCCCAGACTGCAGTGCCTGCCCACCTCCATCCTCCCCCACAGCCAATGGCCCACCCTCTGCAGCCTCTTGGCAACGTTTGCTCCTTACAGATACATTTCTTTTTAGCTTGAATGAAGTGAATAAATCAACCTGCAATTTCTCTCTCCACCCTGCTCATCCCCTGAGATCTTTGCATTCAATTCAAACAACTGCAGTTTGTAAAACACGCAGACGGTGCAGATGACTCTCAGCAGTGAGCTCAGGCTCTGCTTCTTCCCTCGCGTGGGCCCACACGACCATCACACCAACCTCCTGAGCAATGGGTCCCAGAACATCCGATGGGCCCTTCCTGTCACACCCACCCCCAATAGGGAGGTACGTCCATCCCAGGTCAGGTCGGAGACATTTGATGTAATTCAAGAAATGCTGGCTATGCTCAGATTGTAAATTTAAAGACCCTCTTAAAGGTTATAGGCCATGACCGACAAGTCACTTTTAGTCAACCCTGGCGGTGAACATAGATAACCCAAACATGTCACATCGATAAGGTCATTTGCATGCAGGGGCTTTGTACATTTTATAAACTTTTTTACTGTATCAGGGTCATCTATCTACCTATCTAATAAAGGCAAAGCCAAATCCATATTCAAACCAATCAGAAGGGCCACGTCCCAAGAAGGCTTGGCGACTCCTTTCAGAGGAAACTCACCGCTCACGTAAACGCACTGTGCCTTCCTTCACCAGCCACGCTTCCCTCCCAAACACGCTTTCTCCCGCCTCCCACCCAGGCCCGAGTTCTCCCTTCAAAGAAAATTGAGAATAATATTTACCCCAAAGCGTTTCTATGGAGGATCCGAGCAGAAAGCAGTTTCAAAAAGAGAGAGAAAAGGGGATGGGGAGAAAGAAGATCAGAAACTTCATGGACAAAGGGAACCTTACAAGACAGGAAACCGGAGGCGCACAGGCCTGTGAGGTCCCGCTCACAGACTCTCGGCCTTGACACCCGCCAAACCCACAGGCTTTGTGAAAGGCAGGCCAGCACCCACGTGCTCCCCACCCCCTCCCACTTGCCAAAGGCAGAGGGTGCGGCTGCCTCCATCATCGTACGTTATTCCGCTGAGCCTAGAGTAACTGAAGTTTTAAATGCGGGCTTTTATTTCCATCTCTTTAGTCATCTTTAGACAAACACTGTTTCCAGTGAATTTATAAGAAGCCAGCTGGAGGAATTACACCTGTTCTAGGCCAGAGTTCACCTCTCTCGAAGGGCATTCAAGTCATCCTGCCATATTTATGCTCATGAAGGACTTCATTCAAACAGGGGTCATGTGACCAAAGTATGAGGGGCACTCTGTCATCTTTAAAAAGCACAGATGGGCGACACCATAAAACTGCCTCGAAATATGGGGAAGGCGTGGTCTATCAGGGTCCCCGTGTCACACGTAGGGATGCCTTTTGATAAATGAAATGACCAATTGTCCATCGTGAGCTGTTTACTGTACAACTTGAAAAAAAAATCATCTGAGCTCTACTGGTGAGGTGTAACAACACCTTGGCACATACCCAGGTTGCAATAGATGTTTCACACACCAATGTTTCTCTCTCTCTCCCTTCTCCCGCTAAAATTAATTTTAAAAACATATCAAAAAAAGGGTGAGAGCATAAATGTAAAATATTTGAGGTGAAATCATGAGAGCTAGCTTTTTACATGTTTCTTCCTGGCTAGAGTCTGAGCTAAGCACTTGCAGTGCAACTCTTTATTTGGACGCCCTAATAACTGTAGGGCGTAGGTGTTACTATCCCTGTTTTACAGAAGAGATTCGGAGAGGCTGAGTGAGCGCCCGGCCTTGGCAGGGCGAGCTGGGCTGTGGTGCTGGGAGCTCTTGCTCTGCACCAGGCCTCTGCACCAGCAGGCTCTGCTCTGGGCTCCGTCAAACAGCACACCGGATTCCAGGCCGGAACAGACCCCCGAGGTCCTCTTAACTGCGAGGCACCGGCGGCCGGGAGATGGGCCTTGCATAAGATGACCCGGAGAGTGAGCTGCAGTACCTCATGACCTGGCCTGCTGCTATGAGGCAGTGCCTAGAATTCAGGCTTTGGTTCTTAGTTGCTGGTTGCAGTGAAGACAATTTCTCTTAAATTTTTTTAATGTGCCACAAACCTATGTTATACCACCATATACCACAAAAACTTCTAAATACCATTTTACTCAGTAAATAGTCCCGTATTCAAAATTATATTAATTTCACTGCAAATGGCAAATGGATACTAACTTGGGAAGTAAACCCAAGGCCTCCTAAACCTTAAATCCATCATGGGATAATCTCCAAATGTTAAGCGGGCAGAGATAATACCTTCCCCTAAATGGCAACAGCACCTTCTCACCCAGGATACCAGGTTGGTCAGTCAAGTATCCCTTTATGCATTCATACAGCAGCATTGGTGGAGTCCTTGACATACGTCAGCGACTCTTTCTAGGTGCTGGATACACAGTTGTGAACAAAACAAACAAGGTCCCTCCCCTCTTGAAACACCCAGTCTAGCAGGGAAGACAGGCCTCAAGTCAACAAGCAAATAAATCAAAGTGTAACTGTACGCTCAATGCTATGGAAAACTGGAATCATTTGATTGAAAAGTTTACGAAAACAACAACATAGGACATAGGTCACCCTCCCCCCCTCCCCAGCCCCCCTGCCGGCTGCATTCGTCTTAAGCAAAAGCTATGCGTAGGGGAACCTTCCGTATCTCCAAAGTGAGAGAACAGAGTGGGATCAATGGCCGGGCAGGTGGTCAAGGGTCCCTCACTCCAGGCGCTCACTTGTGCCTGACCAGGTCCTTAACCCCAAGACCTTTACATCCAGAAGCATCTGTTGACGAATGAGTTTGCCGACCACAGGGCTAGGCCAAAGGACCTTTCCCAAACCCACGCATGTAAGAATTATCCAAGCTGATGTCCAAGTCAGCAAGACCGCACAGGAGAGGTCTTATCAAACTAGCAGCACAAACTCTTCCAGCACTTTGAGGCACTTTAATTCATGTGCTTTTTTTATACATCATTTAAATATAACCATCCAATAATCCTTTGCTAGTCGTTGCTATTAAATATATAATCAGATTTATTTTTTTTTTTTTACACTGCCTAGCTAATGAGTGAAATTTTACCAGGTTTAAAAATGGACTCTAATGTTAAAGTCTGAGGATAATTTCACAGGCAAGGACACCCTGGTCCCACTTTAATTGGGACTTAATTGGGCCACACGATCTTCCATTTACTTCCCACTTACTTGGTAAGCTCCCGGCAGCTCTCCAGAAAATAACGCCATGTTTCTCTTATGTCTCATCAGTAAAAGATGAGACTTTTCTAGCTCAGTTGCCAAGTGCCCTCCAGATCCTTCATGCGTAATCACTCATCACTTACTGCAATCTTGCCCTTCAGCTTCCAGTCCCCTGTCCTCGAAGAACATGCTCTCACGTGGATTTCTGCTAGAACCCAACTCTCCTTGCACCGGGGACAGAGTGGGGGTGTCGTGTCCTGGAGAGCCTTCCCTCCTTAGGTGGCATGGCTTTCTGTCCCCCCAACAAACCCAGGACAGAACAGCAGGGGGTCTGAGGGCATGTCTTGCATTAGGAATAGACGGGTTTGCTGAGGGGAAGGCGAGGGCAGGGGCCGTGCTGGGAGGAGCCCTGAACCTTGCTAAAGTGTCTGGGCTATTATTTGATAGGCAAAATAACTACCATGTATTACCCACTTTCTAAATGCTCGGCACTATATTGAACACTGAATGCATTTCACCTTATTTAATTCTCACAAGATCAAAAAACAGTTATTTTTAATTTCCACGTACAGATGAGCAAGTGGATGTCCAGAGAGTGAAGGCAGCTAACCGTGAAGAGGGCTGAGATTCAGACCTAAGGCTACCTGACTCTCAATCCTATGTTTTTATTTCTGATGTCGCAATGCCTTTCCACATGGAAACCACTGGAGGCTTTTAGCCAAAGAAGGAAACAGGTAAGGAACCAGCGGTTCCCGAGCTCAAACACTGAGCTGTCTGCTCTAGCATCCTTCATCAGACCGGGGCCGATGAGGCCTCATGGAAGAGCCAGGTACAGACAGAAAAGCAAGATGGACAAGGACAGAGTTGCCTTCTCCATCAGGCACACAGGCCTTGTCCATCTCCAGGCAGAGGCAGAAGCAGCTGGAGGCCGAGGACAGAGCCACACCAAGCCACTGCTTGGAGCTGACAGGGGTAATGGCTTGGAACTAACTAGAATATCTGAGACAGAGGGGAGCATCATGTTATGGAGAAAGCCCTGAACTTGAAATAAAATTTAAAAAATCAATTGTTTAAGAACTGGCTTTGGGATGCACAAGTCAAACAGTCAAACCTCAGGCGATCCATTTCTCAAGGGTAAAACAGGCCTGTCCGGGACAAATGACGTACAGAGGTGAAGCGCTCTGAACTCCAAGCCCCATGGAAACGAGGAGGCAGCTCTCGCCTCTGCACTGGCAGCGCTCGTCTCTGAAGAGGGAGCTCCAAGGCCAGCACTTTGACCTCGTCACTGCTCAGCTGTGGCCAAGTGGGAGGGTCCCTCTTCTTCCTGACCCATCCCTCAGCATTTCGGGGTCACCCATGAGCTCTACATCCTCTGCTTCTTTCTTTGCTCTGGGACCAGAGCCTGGCTCTATGCTAACTGGTTAGTGCAGAATTCTTTCCTTCTTGCATGTGGACCTCAACAAGCTCCCTGAACACACTCATGTTGGCCTCTGCACATTTCTCCTTGGCAAACACAGCACCATACTCTCACTGGAAGGCATTTTAGTCCAAGCTCGGAGCCGCGGCAGGAGACAGCAGAGCGGCGGACCGTCTCCTCGCAATTTTGTTATTCAATCTGGTCAGTCTAGTGACCTGATGTCTTGGCTCTTAGCCTTCACATTCTAAACACCCCAAACCTTCTCATCGGCTGATCTTTCTAAGAAGGTCTAGGTACTGGCTGAAGTCCAGCCAGATACACCCCCTCACACATACCAGCTGGAGACTAATTCATAATGCTAGGCTGTGCCTCTGCCAGTGTGGATTAAGCAGATGGCTGGCGGGTCACATGATCAGAGCTGACACTTCCCCTCATGACCTCCTCTGACCTGAATTATTCTAAAACTACTTTCAAATGTGAGGACAGTGTGAGTGGTTTTTCCTAATCCAGCAGGACCTGGCTCTCCCATGGCTGGGAAGGTTCTGTGCGGGGGGCTAACATCTGGGTCCCGGTATCCATATTGTCGGTTACCACATGGATGGGGCCGTGCTCCCTGATGGGTCCATTTCGTTCTGCTTGGTTCTGGGTCTCTTGGAACAACATCTTTCTATCTGTTCACTGCTGAGATGCCATTTATGATCAACCATCTCCCAAATCTGGGCTTGTTAAGCAAGAGAAAATGGGCATTCACACCCATGGCCTCCATATGATGACGGTCTCCAAGCCCACTTCCCAGAGGGTCCTCCAACAGCACATGTCACAGAGGACACATGCATTCTGGGACTCAATGCCAAGAGCAGGTAGCCTGGGAACTTCTCTCTCTCTTTCAGGCACTCGCTCCATGTGGCTCTCACTTTGTCCCTCCCTCCACCCTCCCAAGGCAGCCAGAGTATAATACAGCCCTGGGCATCCCAAGAGTCCATGGGCATTAATCATCTGTGGTGTCCCTGCCTGGCGCAAAGTCAGGTAAAGTCTCTCCGAGGGGGCTCTTCAAGTTGGAGTCTCGCGGAACAGCATCTTTCTCTCCGCTCACTGCTGGAAATTTCCAATTCCAGCTCAGCCGCCAGCCTAAGTCCAGTTAATGGGCTACCTGACGGCTAAATTTAATTTTAATCCTTCATTTGCTTCCCCAGAACAATGGAGCTGGACGACCTGTCTCGCTCAGTGGTAAATGGGTCTTCTTTTGCATGAAGCAGAACTCTGTCCACTCTTTTGTCCCCTCTACAAGATTAATGTGTACTCAGAGCTTCCTTTGGGAGACCCCCCCTTTCAGTTCTTTCTTGGGGTGCTGCCAAGAAAGAAGCCAAAAAGGCAAAGCTTGAGGTTTGAGGGGGGCTGCCTTGGATGCAGCCAGGTGTCAGGTGAGATGATGGTTCTAATGTTCCTATGCTCTGCTGACCGTGAGCATAGACTCGCATTTCAGTTCTAAATGGTTATTCCTTTCCCAGGTGCCTCCCTTCACGCCTTCCCAAACACAAGCTCCCAAAGCTACACCAGCACCCGAGTACCAGATCCTGGGGCTCCTCAAGGGCCCTTCCAGATCTAAAATCGCCTGAGCCTGTGTAAGTCATTGAACAAAGTCAGAACCAGCTCTGCCGCTGCGGCGAGCTCTGCGTGCCTTCCACAGACCTTATCCATCTTAGGGCCCCGTGTCGGTGTCAGGAGAGTGACATGCTTCAGTGAGAAGAATGTAATAAAAGCCAGTGTGGGAATTCCGGGTCCTGCTGGCATCAAGAGGCAGACTGACTCATGCTCCTTCCTGGCCCAGGACTGAGGAAGGAAAGGCCAAATGCGGCTGCAATCCAGCTCCCCTGCGTGGTAGGGAGTCCTGACCTCCCCTCGCACCCGGCGACGATGGCACGCAGCAACGGGAAGCTCTGGCACCAGCTGCCACAGAGCCTGCATCATGAGTCTGACTGATGCCCAGGCCCAAGTCAGGGGAGGGGGAGGTGGGAGCAGAATCACTACTTTTCTTTTAAACTATTTGCATTGACAAGCCATTATAAGTGGCGAGTTTACGATTTAGCATCCAGTGCAGGACAGCTCACCTGGCAACCTGACTTGAGCTAGGCAAGCAGCGTGTAGAGCAACGGGAATGAAGAGTGAGGGCCTGGGGTGGAGTGTAGGGTCACACACAGGGTCCTGTCCTCTCCTGTGTCCCCTCCTGAGGCGCTGTCCCCGCCCCCTGCCTGTCCGAAGCCTTTCACTGAACACTGAGGACCTGACACCCGAGGGCCAGGCAGCACCGCACCATCATGCAGGAGCCCAGAAGGCTCACAAACTCAACCTGGCGCAGTGGCCACATGACTTCCCTACGAGGCAGCTGAGTCTGGAGGTGGGGGTGCCTCCGGGAGAGATGAAAGGTCCCAGCTGAGGAAATCTCCCAGAACTGCCTCTTTGTTTGAGAGAACCGAGCAATGAAAGGGTCCAGCAGCCATGCCGGGCTCCCTCCCTGAGCCCATGGAGGCACCGCCCACACAGGGGAGCCCCTGCCCACATTTAATTATCTCCAGGAAAGGAGCACCAGGCCTCGGACCGCTCCCTAGAGACTCTCCCTGCTCCTCCTCCACCAGCCCTGGCACTCAGGGCGCTGCTGTCCCTGGAGATGGCCTCCCCTGGGCCAGGGTCTCAGGAGGGAGGGAGGGAAGGTAATCCAACAGGAGAGAGAGTTACTTACGCCAAAGCAAAGGCCACCAGCGCACCAACCACCACCACGAAGTCCAGGATGTTCCACAGGTCTCGGAAGTAGGACCCGTCCTGCAGAATCAAGCCCTGGTCGATCATCTGGAGAAGGAGTGAACAGCCACTGATGAGGTGGAGGGGCAGGCAATGTGTGCCCTGAGCTCTGGGCTCCCCAGGCAATGCCTCCACGGCCATCGCCCCTACAACCAACCCCACGTGGGGCCTAAAGAGCAGAGGACTGGCTCTCTTCATATAACTGAAGCCCGAGGTCCCGTCCCATAGCCACCAGGGCTCAACTAGGCCCCTCAGCTGGCACAGAGCCCTGACACGTCCCTCCTTTCCTTATGGCTCATCTATCGGGCAATGACACACATACACACAGATGGGAAAGATCCCAGATGGGTGAGGCTGGGAACGAGAGAAATGTGGGTGTCAGGGTGATGGGGAACAGACCAGAGGCAGTGAGTGCAGCTGGGACTAAACAGAATCCAGGAAAACCCGACCCTACCTAACCCTTTGCCTTGGCACATACCCAGGCTCAAGCCAGTGAGCGCTGGGGAGGCGACTGCTGTCCCCAGTGTCTGCACTCCCACTGCCTCCTGGGAGTGGGCCTGGCTCCTGCTCCGGCCACACCCACAGGGCTGCCACCCTGTCCCCCCCCCCCCCCCCGCCCCCAACAGCCCACCTCAGTCACATCCTGCCAAGAGGGGCTTCATCAGGATCCTGGGGCTGGAGGAGGGGTTTGCAGAGACCAGACCAGTACTGAGGTTCTGTCACTGGCCAGTAGGTGACAGCATTGGGGAAGGTCACTAAGCTAGAGGAGCAAACAGGTGACCTATCCCAACCCCACCAGGTTTCCTCTAGAGCAGTGGTTCTCAACCTTCTGGCCCTTTAAATACAGTTCCTCATGTTGTGACCCAACCATAAAATTATTTTCGTTGCTACTTCCTAACTGTCATGTTGCTACTGTTCTGAATCGTAATGTAAATATCTGATATGCAGGATGGTCTTAGGCGACCTGTGAAAGGGTCGTTCGTCCGCCAAAGGGGTCGCGACCCACAGGTTGAGAACTGCTGCTCTAGAGACTCTTACCTTTATAACCATCTCAAAGGTGAACACACCCGTGAAAACATAGTCAAAGTACCGCAGGACCTGGAAGACACATACCGTGCAGGGGAGGAGGTTACGCGTGGTCACCCGGCCACACACACTCCCGCCTGCCCACGGAGACATCCCTGCCCGCCCACCCAACGCCCACTCATTTCCACCGCAGAACAGAAGCTTGGAATTGCAACCACTAGCTGGGTGCAGAGAAAAGAGGAGCCACGGGTCCGGTTGGAGCCACATGACATGGGGGCCAGTCCTAGGCCCTTCCCTCCCTGTGGCCAGAACTTATTTTCTTGGGTCTCAACTGCCCCACAAACCTTCCCCACAATTCTGGCTCAGGATCTGAAATCCTTGTCAGTTCCCATCCTCCCTGCCCCTCTCCTACCTCCTGACATACACCCTGGGGAACCCAGGCTGTGCTCAACTTCACCCCCATGTCCTATGCCAGATTCCACATCCAAGCCCATGGGTGGCTGCAGAGACCCCCTTGATAGCCCTGTGGGCTCCAGTGGGCCTCACTCCTTCCTCACTCCCCAGGAGCCTTCCTCAGGCCACCTCTGATGCTGGGATGGGGCAGGTACCAGGACGCTGGGGAGGTTGGCGAAGGGCCCCGTGCACCCACTCTGTTGCGCTCCGAGTTGGTCAGGACCGGGTCCTCGGCCGCCAGGGCGATGCTGCTGGCCGCAATCACCAGGAGAATGCACATCTCAAAGTAGCGCAAGTTCACGATGTAGTGACAGGCCCTGCGGATCCTGCGGGTGGATGAGCCTTGAGCCGGCGCCTCCCTCTGTCCCCATCGTGCCTCCCCACCCCCGCACACAGGCACAACGGCCTCTTCCAGACAGCCAGGCCCTGGCCAGAGGAAGCCTTGGGAAGAGCAATTTAATTTCTCAGGCACCACCCTTGATTTAAAGCCCCAGAGGGGGAAGGTAATCAGATTGGCTGGAGGCTGCTGTACACAAGCCAAGACGCATTATCTGCAAGCACGTCAGCCGTGGGGCGCAGCCAGCATCAGAATACACACACTCGGGGGGCCCTCCACTGTATCTCAATGTATAGAAACTGGGGCAGAGCAAGCAGATCAGAAGAACCAAGGAACATAAAAATAGACCTTGATTCTAAGCTTCTTGATGAAAGCAGCAACAGGTTTTCATGAGTTCCAGGCATTCTGATTACAGAGACTATATCCCATGGACTGCATTCTGGCCCTGGGTGACCTGACAGTCCTTAGCCCAGGTTCCTGTCTTCCCTGATGCTTGCCGGGACCCTGCCCACGTGGCCACGGAAAGCCTGCCTGTCTTGTCTTCCTAGCCTCAGAAGCTGGCCTACAGGTATACCTTGCTCAGGTAAAGGGCAGAAGAAAGCTTGCCTTTCAAAATCCCATTTTTCCTGAGTCCAACCTTCCGAACTCTTCTCTGCCAACCCCACCTCATGCCCCTAAACACACCCACTTCAAAATCCATAGGGATTCTGGATTAAGCAGTGGGATCAATACTCGTAACTGCCAATGGATGACCCAATCATTACAGGCACCGTCTCAGCTATGGGCCATTTGGTAACACATCCCAAATAGACTTCCTCCTCCCTTCCCTCCACTGACCGAAGAAAAGGTGAGTGTCCTTTCCTCATGACATTTGCCATGCTTTCCTGTCTTAAATTACTCCCTAGACTATGGGCACAGAATTCAGAGGATGTTCAGTTCCATGACCCATCTCCACCCGTGAGCACCCTGGATGCTGCATGTCTCTGGTGGCTGTATCCCACTGGGAAGGACCAGGAAGAGGACTGGGCCCTCATCCCTCCATCTCCCCATTGCCCTGCCCTGGCCCAAACTCTGCCTGTACACCTGGATGGATGGGGGAGATGGGAGGGACTTACGGGTTGGTGGTGCTGAAGATAAACATGGAGCTGTGGGGCACCATGGCTTTGCCCGTCTCACGCTTCTCCTTCTTCTGCTTCTTCTCCTCTTCCTCCTCCTCCTCTTTGATCTCTGCCTCCTTCAAGGGACTGGCTTCGCCATCAGTCTTGTTGCTGACTGCAAGGGGAACATGTGGATGTCCTCAGAAACCTTGTCACATGCGAGAATGGAGCCCTTGGTGATCCACCGGGGATGGGATGGAGGCGCTGGGAAGGGGCCTCGGGAAGGTGCAGAGGGCAGTGCCCTGCCCACATGCAGTGTTTGTTAGTTACACAGAGTCCAGCGCTTTCTCTCCTCCTAGCTTTACCCTAATTTTATGTGGTATAGCCTTTGCCATATAAATCATTCATTCTTACCACATTTCTCTGGGTAACGGAAGGTTGGTTTATGTTGTAAAGTTTACAGTTTATTTATCTAATATCTGGATTCTTTGTATTTATTCACTTATTGAATTTTCACATCAATAGCTACTGAATGGCATGCATTATTATTCCCATTATACAGATGGGAAAAGTGAAGTTGAGGGAAGTCAAGTACCTATCTTCAGGTCCTACAGCCAATATAGGTTCCGGTCTAAAATTCTATATCCTTTCAAGATGAAACCACACTGCAATGGAAGATTTTTAGAAACCATTCCTCTGTTTGTAGCTGCCTTCCTGGCTGTGCTTTTTCCAGTCATGATTAATGCAGAGATGAGAGTGCAATATTCATGCGAATGTGGGTGCAAGACTACATCCAGGATAGAGAGGGTGAAGGGACCAGGACTGAATGGAGCTCTTGGGACCACTACTCCCTGTTTTATACTCGTGTCACAGTGGGGTTGGGGCAGAGGGGTTGAGGCTATCAAGTAGGCCACGGGCATCCCGTCAACCTCCCCCACCGATCCCTTCAGTGGGTGACTCTACCCTGGAACCTTATGTGAGCAGCAAAACTCTGAGGGTCCGCCCCTTCTGGGACCTTCTATGAAATAAGTCATCCAAACTATCCAAAAGCCTTCTGATAACATGCTCTTACCTATCACCAAAGCCAGGGACTGGCGCCAGAATGGGAACAAAGAGAGGGTCCAACTTCCTTACTGATTCTCATAGAAGAGGGGCCTACATACTTATTTATTGGAACATAAAATTAAACAGACCCCAAAAGAGGTTGGGAGTCTGAGATCCTGAGACATGAACTGGCTGAGCCCAGGAGTCCCGGGCCTGGGAGATGTCACTTGCCCAAGCAGCACTGGCATTGTCAGTGTAGAGAAGGTGAAGGGATAGAGACGTAACAGAGTAAGCAAGAAACGCCAGACTGTCCTATTAAGAGAGGAAATGGTGGAGCAAGTCGGGGAGGGAGAAAAGCAAGGGTAGAATCCTGTGGTCACAATTCAGTGACCATGGGATTAGGTCTGGAATGGGGGTGGGGTTAGGACAGAGATAGGGTGCCGGTTTAGTGCTTTCTTGCCATTTCCCTTTAAGGGCTCCTAGATTAACAACATCCTTTGTTAATCTCTCCAGGGAACTGGATAGAAAGGGACTAAAACTTTGGAGGAGAAAAACAGTAGATAAGAGTAATAGATTCATAAAATGTTAGTACAGAGACCTCAGAATCACCAGTGTTCTCACTTCATAGGTGACAAACAGGCCTGAAGCGGGACAGAGGCGTTCTGGAGGCCATGCGCTAGGCTGAGCCAGGCCACAGAGCCTTCCTGCCACCCCTGCCCCATCCGAGGCCCCCTATTTGTCCAGGTGGCAGAGCATCTTGGAAGTCCTGGAAACGCCCATCAAATGTTGATACAAGTCAAGGAGCTGAATCTAGATCTGGGTCCAGACTCACACGTGATCTTTCCAAAGACTCTAGGGTGGTCACAGGGCTTAAGGACATCTTATGGCCTAAAGTTAAGATTGAGAAAATTCTAACTTATTTTTCCTGCACATCGGGTAAAAACTGTCCTGTTTTTCACTTGTTGAGGAATGATTTTATCCTGCTGGTGGGGTTTTCCATGCAGCTTTCCTGGGGTGACTCTGGAGCCACGACTCCCCCCAACAACTCCCCCCAGACCAGGTGGCAGGGGTGACGGGGACAGGACTGTGTCCTCACTGTGCACCATGGTCGAGTCCACCAGGGGGTCCACGTCGGGGATGGCGACAGTGACGCTGGTGCTCTCGGTGGCGGCCTTGTCCGTGTTGGCCGTGACGCAGGAGAGGTCGGGCTCGCTCTGGCTGACCCGGCCCACGTTCAGCTGCACGTCCCCCAGCAGGGCTTGCTCGCTGCTGCCCTCAGGCTCCTGCTCCGTCAGCACCTTCCCCTCTTCTGGTTCTGTGTTCGGCGGGACGAGGGGGGTGTCAGCCTCATCGAGGGCTCCTGCCAGCCCAGAGCCTCGGGGCACCATCAGACTGTTGGTCCTGTCAAGACAGAGGAGGACACAGTTGGGGCTCAGATCTGAAGATGCTGTTTCAAAGCGGGGAGAGGTGAGGGGAGGCCGAGGAGCCCTGCTGGGGAACATGGGGCCTCTGCTGCCTCCCACCCCAACGGGCAGAAAGAAGCTAAGACCCAGGGGCCTCGCCTCCATCTCATTTCCATCCACCTGCCCATGACCCACTCCTGATGGGCGGTACCCTGGAACAGAGGCTGGTTTTCAGGGGGACAGAGCCCACTGCCCATCATAGTTGCACATACCCTGTACCAGGTGCACTAGCACCACCCCCACTGGACAAAATGAGGCTCAGAGGCTTATACTGAAGGGTCCCCAACACCAGTCGCGCCACGTGCCTCCGGGTGCTCCTGGGACTTGTTACCTCCTCAAGTCCTGGGCTCTCTCTTCTTCCTGGATTGTGGGCTCCTTGCCCCCATGGCCGCCCCTGGGCTCGCGGTCCTTCTCCCCCTCGGTGGGCACGCCGTCATCCAGGCCCCGCTCCTGGCTGGCCGACCGGCTCTGGGAGGCGGAGGAGGGCTCCTTGCCTTCCGTTCTGACTCGGCGGTGCCGGCTACGCCGCTGGCTCTGCCTGTGCCTGGCCCGGTCCTCAAAGGTCACCACCGCCTCCCCTCCCCCAGCCTCCTGCTGGGTGGGGTCACAGTTCCCATGGCAGGGCCTGGCCAGCCACGGCGGCTCCCGTTTGCCCAGTGGCAAGGGGCTCCTCTGGTGGTCCAGGGCACTGGAGAGGTCCCCTGCGTCCCCCTTGAGGGACCCCCCGCGGCTGATGCGCTCCTCCTCACACTTCTCCAGGCCCAGGCCCAGGGCCAGCCCCTCCAGGGGCCGGGATCTCCGGTAGAGGCTGGGGTGGGCGTTGAGCGGGTTGAGGGGGCTCAGTGGGTTGAGGGGGTTGAGCGGGTTCATGGGCGGGGCCTCCTCCTTGTTGAGGGCCTCCTGGCTGGACATCTGCATGTGCCGCCTCAGCTGGCTGGTGCGCTGCTCCCACACCGACATGTGGTGGCGGCGCCTCCGCTCCCGCCTGGCGAAGGGGAAAGGGGGAAGGCCGCGGTCAGAACCCCACGGCTGCCGGCCAAAGAGGGCAGCCCTCAGCGGCCACGGGGAAAGGGCAGGACACACGGTGCGAGGGGCACACGGGAGAGCCCAGGACCTGCAGACGGGAAGCACAGAGAGACGCAAGGAGCAGAGGGGGCCACGCAGCAGCGGGTCCTGGGGCCACAGCCTCCCAGCTCATGGGCTTCCCACTCGGTTTCCCTGCTCTGCAGCCGCTGGGGGAGCGGGTGGGGGTGGGGTCAGCCCAGGACCCAGTTCCCTGTCCCCGGGGCCTGCAGGGCCGAAGTACAAAGGTGACTAGGTCTGCACTCCCTGCTCCAATTTGCTTTCAGGGCAACAACCTTCTCCTACTCTGTGCCTGCCACTGGCCCCTAGTTCCAGGCAGAGACCCCCTTCCACCTGCTCTCCTCTCCTCTCCCTCAGATAAGCCTGGGGTTGCCAGGGCAGAGCAGTGCAAAGGTCAGAGTCCATCGAAGGGTGACCACGGGGACGAGCAGACCTATGTTACATAACGTCTTGGCGTCACCCTCACCAAAGCAGAGTGTTGGGGTCTCTTCCAAACCTCGGAGGACTGTGTGTGCAAAGACCACCAGCAGCTCACCCTCAGAATGGCCGGGGAGCACTTCGGCTCCGGGCCGAGAGGAGCATTTGCGTGGCAGTGAGAACGCACCAACATGACACACAGGCGAGCACACGGGGCCCCACACGGCGGAAGGGTAGCCACCTACGCCTTCCCCACACGTGCCTGTGCGTGCACAGCTACACACTGTTAAGGGGACGCTCGCAGGTGCCCACACACGCCCTCACCGAGGCCCCTGCGTGGCTGCACACAACTGCCTACGTGAAAGGCACAGCCACGCCGGCACAGGCCCGCTCACAGGCCACACAGAGAGCGAACAACGCGCAGGGTCACAGACCTTAGACACACAGAGACAAGCACGTGTCGAAAGGGGCAGCGGGGCATGTCCACAAACCATGTGCATGGAACACACACGCACACACCACTGACGTGCACACCCGGCACCACTTTGTCCACGGCAAGGACAGAGACACGGTGTCCCCGCACCCGCATATGACCACTCACAAACACGCAAACCGGCCCACACATACAGGTGGCTGCTGCGTGGCTCCCACATCGACATGTGGTGTCTTCTCCTTCTGTCTCTTCTGGGGAAGAAAAACGGACAGGTTCAGTTCACCCCGACCTCTGGAGCCACCACACGCCCCACAGCCACCAGCAGGTTTCCGGGGAGAGGGATGGTCCCCAGTGCGCCCACACGCTCTCCGCACGCCCGCTGCCCGCTGCACACGCCCAACCACGCACTCTCCGAGGGAGCGGCTTGATTCCTTGCCACGTGCAAACACGTGACCTAGGTTTTGAAGCGTACGAACGGACGCCAAGGATCCGTTTCCATTTCATGGAGCAGACTGCTTCAGATGCTCAACCGTCACGCCCACTGGCACTCACACCACAACCTAAAGAGCCTTCAGAGACCTGTTACGGAGACAGATCTCTGGATGAAGAGCTGTATTTCCCCCGTCATTTCTAGATGGGCCCAGCACAGTCACATGGGTGTGAGTTCCCCACTCATCACTCCAATCCCTCAAAACGTGCGGTGAGCAAGGGCTCTGCCACGCACACCTTCGAGGCCACAGAAATAGCCCACGGCCAAAGGCAGGCCCACCCCTCCACGGCCGCCATCCACATCCTCTAGGATGCGAGTGGTGACCCCGCATTTGTGCAACGCAGTGACCCTGGCCAGAGGCCTTGAAGGTTTGGTCTGTTTAGCTGGGTAAAGCCCAGTATTAACCTTCTTGGCCTTGCACAGTGAAAACTCTCTTACACACACACACACACACACACACACACACACACACACACATACACTTGCTGTGCCCTTTCAATCGGTCAATGGAAGGTCAGAGAGGCAGGGTGTGGGCACCCCCCTCCAGGGCAGACAGGACTCCTGGGAAAATGAGACCGCCAGCTCCGCTGAACGCTCGGTGGAGGAAGCACATCTGGGACACCTGTGGAGAGAGCCCGGCAGACGGGCCGTCTGGCCCAACGGACCCTGCCTGGACCTGAAGGTTGGCAAATGCTGCTCCTTTCCTGATAAAAGTGACACCCACACATGGAGAACATGCTGGACAAACTAGTCCCGCCCCACGGCCACCCCTGTGTCTGCTGAAGAGGCTGGTCCTCCGTGGGGCTGGGGAGCAGGCAGCTGGGCTGAGCGTCCCTCAGTGCCTGGCGGAGGAGCGACACACATGCGCACCCACGGGATGGACGCAGTCATCACTGTGCCGGCACCGGCGAGCTCCCCGACTGAATGCACCCCTCGGCTTCGCCAGCTGCGATGCGAGGAGGCACACGTGGGGCGGCGGTACCGAGAGGCATGGGTGGCAGATAGAAATAAGGGCCCACACTTGACACAGGCCTCATGCAAACCCACCACGAAAAGCACATTCTGGCATCTAACTGCACATTCTCACATATTCAAACACTGGAGGCAGAGGCACGTGTAAGAGTGTAAGTGCACGAAGAATCCCCTCTTGCGTACGCATGCCTGAGCACACTCAAGTGCACGCACACACATGCACGCACCAGGCAGAAGAGAAACCCAATTGCCGAATCCCACACAAATCAGACACACACTTCAAAGCCCTCTTTACTTCTCCACTCACATATGAGTAGATCCACTTCCTGCCCCATCAGAATCATTAACGTACCTTCATTCCCCAAATCATACCGAGAAGCATCCACGTATCTCCAACCCATGCATCTGTGACCTCACACGCAGCCCACAATTATCCCGTGGACCAGGAAGGCCAGTGAGCGTTCTTCCTCTTCCAGAAATGGGACACAGGATCAGAGATCCTGAAGGATCTCACCACGGTCACAGAACATATGAGTGGCAGGACTACAGCCAGCACCCAGGCCATTTGGTTTGTCACCATGCTCTTTCCCTGTCGCTCCAGGGACAGCCACATTCTTGCTTTCACTCCCGAGGGGTGTGCACACACCTGACGGACGTAGCGCTGCCAGTGGCACCCACCTCACACACTTGTCCCGCATCCAGAGTCTGGAACTCTGCCCGTCCTGGGCGGTCACAGCACTTTCTTCCACTGCACTGTGCCCGGTACACACACGGCTCAACACCTACAGGCCCTGCTACCGGCAGTTCATTCATTCTTTCATTCCATCAAGTGTAGGTTTCTACTCTGGGCTGAGCACCTTCCCAACTCAGGGCTCCAAACCCACTCTCCCCGCAGGCTTCCTCATCTCAGCAAACAGAACCACCCACTGACTTCTCTTCTAAGCTTCAAACTCATGGAACCAACTGCCTTACCCAGCGGCATGTTTGGCTACCTGTGTATTTTTCTCCCAAACTCATGAGCTCAGGGAAGGTGGATTAGAAACCACTCAAGATCCAGAGATAATTTTTCGGACGGGGGGTAGGGTTGGGGGCAGTTTTTTCCCCACTCACAGAGGAGGGGCCCAGAGCCAGATCTTCGTGGTTTTGAAAGGTCAGGGCAAGATGATGGCCATGCAGGGAAGGGAGGGCTCCACAGGTAACCCTGGCATACCTCTGCCAGGTGAGGCTCCTCATTCGAGAGCCTTGTACATGAGCACTGGCCAAAAAGGGCTTCTTCCTCACTAGCTTCAAGGAGTCGATGATAGGGTCTGGTGCCACCCCTGGGGATCTCCGGCCCTCTCCATAGATACCCCAGGGCTACTCACACAGTCCTCAGGCAACTAGCAGCTACAGGAGTGCCATGGTTCTGCAGCCACAGCTCGGCCTCTCCTCCAACAGCATCCTCCAGCCCCACACAGGAAGTCAGCCCCACCCAGGGCCTAGCCCTCTGCCCCCAGCTCCACCAGCCGCCACAGGCCCAGGTTGGATCCTTAAAAGTGTCTCCTCACTGATTACTTCATCACCTTTCATTCATTCCCTGGACTCAGTGCCCAGGGGCCACTCAGCTAGACTCAGTTCCCATGAGCCACTCAAACTGCTCCTGCAAAGCTCACTTACAACTTCCATGTTGCCAGTCCCTTTGCTGTCCTCATCTCGCGTGATCTTTCAACAGTATTTCACACCGCTGTTCGCCCTCCTTCCTGAAGGGTGTCCTTCTCTAGTCTCCAGGGCACCATGCTTCCTGGTTCCTTCGCCCCACCTCCTGGAAGCTCCCCGTCAGGCACAGGTGGGCTCTGGGCCTCTGTCCTCAGCTTGTCCCTTCTCCATCTGGACTCTCCCAGATCGTTACTGCTAACCCCGACTTCTCTCCTAAGCTTCAGATGCCTATTCAACATCTCCCCTTGGATGTCTTGTAAGGATCTCAAATTCAGTGTGGTCCAAATGAGCCTGGGCGCTCCATCGTTCTCCAGAGTATCGTACACACAGCCGCCACCTCCCCACTTGCTGAAGCCTCACGCCTTAGACCTTGGGAGAAATGCTTCCTCTCCTCTTACTCATCCACCCCGTCACATTTAACCCAGCATTAGTTCACGCTATTGGGTCACCCTCCAAAACAGAGACTGAATGGGATGACCTTCCACCTTCTCCGTTGCCACCACCCTGCTTTGAGACCCTGTTATCTTTCACCTACTTTCAGAGTCAACTTTCTGTGTCCCTGCCTCCCCTCTTGGCCCCTACAATCCATTCTCCACAAAGCAGAGTGACCTTTTAAAAGTATGAATCATGTCCCATCCATCCTTCCACTTTAAACGCTCCCAGGGCTGCAACGAGAATACAAGCTGAAATCCTTCACCTGGGCCTTCGGGACCTGGCTCCTGCCCACCATGCTGACCTTGTCTCCTTTGATCCCTTCTCATTCCTTCCACACCAGCCAACTGCTGGAGCTGCTCTGCCCTCAAATGTCACAAGACACTTTACGCACATTTAGGTCTCCGCTTAAATGTCACCTCTTCTGAGAGCCCCTCCCAGACTGCCCGAAGGTACTCCACCCGGCTCCTGTTCCTCTGCCCGACTGCCCTGTTTCATGTGTTTTACAGCAGTTACCACTATTGAAAAGTATCTGTGTGTTTATTATCAATCCGACCTCGCTCACTGCAATAAATGCTCCACGAGAAGAGAGACTGTCGTGCTCACTGCTGTGTTCACAGGGCACCTCCTGGCGTGGAGTAGGTGCCCTGGGATAACCAGTGGGTTTTGAATGGAGTGCAGGGGACAGTGAGGTGAGGACTGCCGACTCACTCGATAGAAGGCATGTTGGGTGCGGACATCGGGCTGACCTCCTTGGCCTTCTGCAGCGCGTGCTTCTGGTTGAAAGCCTCCTCTTCTTCCTGCTCATCCTAGACACAAAGAAGACACGGCTGTGCCTGGGACCCCCACGAAGAAGAGGTGGCTCCCTGGGCTCTCCTGAGAAGCTCTGGAGAGCAGGAGGGGTGAGGAGCGCAAGGGGAGAGGTGAAACAAGGCAGAATGAGGGAGACTGGCTGAGAGACCACAGATGGCCAAGCTGCCGGGACTCCGTTGCCCTGGCATGGCCGCAACTCTGGTCTCCTCCCTGCCCCATAGGCTGCCCAGGAGAGCCGTGGAAGTCAAGGCCATGGCTCAGCCCTCAGTGGAGCTGGCCACGCTGTAGAAGTCACAGGCCAGAGCTGACACTTGCCAGGTGTTCTGTCTGGAAGTGAGGGAAGGGCCTCGTTCCCTCACTTCCAGACAGAAGCCTGAAGTGCAGCACCCAGGCTGTGCCTTCCACCGTGCCTTCTTCCCTGCAGAGCTAAGTGTTCCCAGGATTGAGTGTTTTCTTTATTCTTCATGTTACAATCCTGCTAAGGGCCTCCTTGAGGGTCCAAGTTCTAAGCTATTATTTTCTCTATCTCACGGGAGACCCAGGCTGGTCTGAGGCTCACCAAACTCAAAGAGAGTGAACCAGGCTTCCCTCAGGGCTCTCCATCTGTCCAGGAGCTCCCGGGAGGGGCCAGACACGCAGACTCCTGGAGGCACCCCAAAGGCATCCAATGGCACTAGAACCATCGCATCCCCAGAGAGCAATGCTTACCTTGGTCAGCTCCTGGGCGTTGGCCAGATTGTCCACAGCGATGGCCAAGAACACGTTCAGCAGCGTGTCTGGGGTGACGCGTTAAGGATGGACAAGTAAGAAAAGCAAGAGGCTTCAAAGCAAGGCTGAGAGGGCATCTCCACGTCTTTCCTGCTGGGGACACTGGGGTCTACCCCAAAGAGTCACTTAAGCAGGGACTGTGGGAGGGGAGGGCAGAGATACTGCGCAACCCTGTTAGGAGAATATGTCTTCCCTCCTTCCACATATCATCTCTTTGTTCAGGACAAAGAAATACATGAATGGAGTGAGAAGGCCTTTAAGCAGCTGTGATGTCTATCACAGCAATATCAAACAGAGAGTCAATGAACACAAGATGGGTAGGGAACTCAACGTAGGAGCTCATCTCCCCTTTCTGGGAGGCTGAAACTGGAGCCCGCCTACACTAGCCATCCTAAACGATTCTTAAAGATGAAAAGAAATGAGAACCCACATCCCATCGCTGACCAGCTCTCAGTAATGGGGTGCTAACTTATTTCTCCTGTTCTTCTCGTCCTGCACAGCTTCTGTATTTCATTTAGCAAAATGTCACAGAGCTCACCAAGATCATTATGGAACCCATTTTTATTCTGCACGCTAACCTCTCAAGTCCCAAATTTCCAACTGTGTTTGAGGCCCGTGTGTTCTGGGACAAAGAACTGGTTCCAGAAAGTCCAGGTCTGACTGCCCTCAGAGTAAAAAGAAAAAAAAAACCACCAAAAAAACACACAAAAAACCAAAACAAGGCCACTGTGACAAATCGGCCTTCCATTTCTGTGACTCATTGCACAGCTTTCTTCTTACGGGCTCTTTTTGGTCTAGAGTTGGCTTTGGCCCTTATCAGTTTTCAGGGCAGAAAACCAAAAGGGGCGTCTTTTCTCTGTGAGATTATAGAAGATGCAGAACCACAGCTGTATCACAGCAGCTCCTCGTTTTTACTCTACCAACCCCAATTCAAGGCAAGTCGCACTCCCCCAAAACAGCTAATGATCGTGTAGAAGTCTGTAGTTTACCAGGTGCATTCAAATAAATTACCTCATTTACTATTCACAACGAACAAAGAAGACAGGCATAGGTATTCTAATTTCACATGTGGAAACTAGAAGCTCAGAAAGATGGAGTGCCTTTCCCAAGGCCACACAGCTGGATGCAGAGTTGCTGGGATTAAAACCGAATCTTCCTGGATCTAGATCCTGTGACCAGACCTGGGTTTTGGAATGCGATGACCTTGGTTTCTACTTTCCCTTTACAGTTGAGTAATAGTTTGATCTTTGTTATTTCTCCTATGTCTTACAAAGTAAGGATTAGATGAACCAGTGCCAGTAAAGCACTTAGTACACACAGAGACTCACAAATAGCACAGAAGCAGTCAATGTTAGATGTGCTTAGCTATAGTAGCATTAATCATAATGCTAGTGTTTTAGAGATCTTACTATGGGGCAGGCTCTGTTCTATGGTAACATGAAATTAACTCATGAGTATTATAATCTGCCCACTGTTTCAGCCTACAACGATCTCTGCCCTCTCTTCTTTCCCCAGCTCATAGTAGCTCCAATCATTCAACACAATAGCCTCATTTGGATGCTATTCTTTTTCTTCATTTTTATTCCCTTTACCCAATTAGCGTACAAATTCCTTAAGGTCAGAATCCTTGTTTCTCTTAGTATACGGAGCAATGTCTGGTTTCCTCTTAGTATACAGAGCAATGTTCCCACCCCCCCACCCATCCCTGCCCCACTCCAGTTCTACCACCATCACCACCTTCCTCCCCACCTCCTCCACACCACCACCACCACCACCTCCACCTCCACCTCCACCTCCACCTCCACCACCAACCTCCTCCTCCTTCACCATCACTACCACAACACCCCCCCCCTTTCTTCCATCTCCCCCTCCCCTCCTCAAAAGCCTGACTGGGCAGGCAGGCGGCACAAAGAGGAGCATGTTTAAAAAGGATACAGTTTCCAAACAAGGTGAGCACAATGAAATAGATGGCTGACCACATGCCTGAGCTGACCCCACCCTGGGAGCGGATCCCATTGTACATCACCTCATTCCAGTCCTCGCCTGTCAGGATCTACGCAAAGCAAACAACAGGCAAGTCAGAGACCTGGGCTGGTTGAGAAAATGGGGGAAAGTCTGGGCCTGAGTCTTTTCCACCTACCCCCTTGCTTGGCCATCCTGCCAGGGAGGGGGGAAAATGTCACTCCCATGGATAATCCTAAACTTTCTTCTGTTATGGAAGAGAATTTTAGGCATTGAAAATAGAGAAAGAGCATTAAAAGGGAAGATTTATTCCTCAAACTACAGAGTCCCTCCCCACCACCCCCACTTTGCCAGGCCCATAGGAATCACTCAGACCAGGCAGTCTGGTCATTCCCCACCTGTCACCAGAGCTGCCAAGAGGCAATTCCTGAGACAGCATCATTATGGGAAAGAGCTGCCTGGGCACCAGTTCCGGAAACCTGGATTCTGGTTCAGCCTCAGATTCTGGCTAAATAGCGTTTTTCTTAGGTCTAAGACATTACTGATTTTTAATTTCCCCCATTATTCCAAATTTATTTTGGTGGGGGCTAATCATACTTCATTAAATGATCACATATGTTAGATGATGTTTCCGGTTTCAGAACACCATAAATGCGATAGCTTTTTTACTGTCTTTGACTCGAGACCTCATATGTAGGGAGGAGGCCAATGAGGCCATCATGAGGGGGCTCTTCTCTTATTGGTAAGAACAGAGCAACCAAAATCCTAGGAATTACTGTGGTGATGATTCCTCAACAAGCAAGACACCCAGCTGCCTGGGAGGGGCCTGGAGGGGCAGAGTGGGATTCTCCTAACCCTTTCACCTTGCGATGTGCGCCCAGGAACCTGCCAGTTGGCCTCATACCTGGAATACAGTCATGATGGCTGCAGGGAAAGTGTCAAAGTTTGCCGAAGGAGTCCCATCATTAAAGTTAAACCTGAGAAGGGAATCCAGAGAGAATGGAATGAAAATTCTTACACACCAAGGTTTCCCTTCCCAAGATTATGCCATTTTCATCACTTCTTTCCCCTTTCTCCACGTCCCCCTTTCCTACATTCCCCCCACTCCATGTCCCTAGTAGAGATGGTATTAGAGACTATGGCTGAAGGACTGCGCTCTGTGAAGGGTGTGTCTTTGAAGGGCGTGGGTACTGAGATGGAGTTTGGGCAGAGCCTGAGGTTCAGGGCCCTGGGCTGGACATTTCAGAGAGAGCTCCAGAGGAAGGGTCTCTGAAGCAAGAACCCTGTACAATGTGAAAAGGTTACAAGCAGAGACGCCTGTTCCACAACACGCACAGTGGTTGACATGGGCCAGGGACAGGAGCAAACAAGATGGGAACATGGTGATTGAATGAGTGACCCCGGCGCTCCCAGGCTGAGGTTGTAAGGCTCCTTTGGATGGAAAGCTAGTTGGTGCTTACCTGCCTCCAAACAGCTGCATTCCTAGGAGAGCAAAGACCACGATGAAGAGGAAGAGGAGGAAGAGCAAACTGATGATAGACTTCATGGAACTCATCAAGGAGACCACCAAATTCCGTAGGGATGCCCAGTACCTACAAAACGCAGACGACATGACAGCGGTGAGCAGTGAATACCACATTATCCCCAAGTCAGCTGGACATCTGCCTGGTGGTCTATGAATGAGCTGCATTTTTAATCCTTGTAGGAAGGACAGATGGTAGCAACAGTGTGGCTCCCCTTGGGAATGTAGCATGGGACTTGGCATCATAGATGTTTCTTCTGGTTCGATCTTTGGAGAAGGAGGAGGAGGAGCTGAAGAATGGAGTGGGGGGATGAGATAAGGAAGGGGAAGATCTGGTAAGGGGGATGAGGAATGGGAGGACATATAATAAGGCAGAGAGAAGCTTCCACTCTCCAAGGTAGTTGGGAAGGGTCCAGATTCTGGTCACTTACTTGGTTATTTTAAATATTCTTAGAAGCCGGAGAGCTCGCAAGACACTGATTCCAAAAGATGTTCCAGGTCTGAAGATGGCCCAGACCACTTCAAAGATACTGCCCACTGTGACCTAAAGAACCAAACCCAGCCACAGTACCAGGAGGAGGAAGAGAGGAGAGGAACATTCTGGTAGTCGGCAATCAACAGTACTCATTGGGCTGTGGAGAAATTAAAACTCTCCCCTCCCCACCCCCTTGCTAACTTTAATCCTGCAGACTGTGGGCTGGTTTACTGACTGCTGTTGTCCTTGGTGAAAACTACAAGTGATCAATTCTGCACAAAACTGACAGCCGTAACTGTCTTACATTGTAACACTTTGAGCAGACAGACAAAAGAGTCGTCCTCAAAGCAAGGAACCAAACTTGAAGTAATACAGGTTGCATTCCAATATAAAAATCTCAGGGAGGGCCCACATTCTCTCATTGTTCTAGAATTTAATGCTCACAAGAACGGTTTAGTCATGTGTAGACTATCTGTCAGTCCCTCAGGCCCCACACAGCCTAATGTGAAGGTGCTACTGGGTGGCAGAGAATCTGACTGCTGTAGGAAGCAGCCATGTCAAATTAAAAACAACTTGTTTTTTGTTTTAATTATGCACCTAGTGATTGTCCACTATATAGTCTCTACATTGCATGAGGAGAAATAACTGATAAATTCATCCTCACAGCAATTCTGAATATATGTAGATAAAGAAACTAAGATTATAATGGTCTTTCACTGGCTGGGATGCCTGAAAACTGCCCGTACCCAAAAACATATGTTCCATGTTAAAATGCAGATTGGCAAGTGCTCAAAATCCTTAGCACATAACTGAAAATTTGGCAGAAAAAGAAATAGGTTTGGCAGAAAGAGAAGTGGATCAGGAACCCAAAGTTTTGGGACCCAGCACTGCTGCTAATGGGCGATGTGAACTGGGGACACGTGTCCTCTGGGAATGGGCAGGCTAACTCCTGACACGCAATCTAGTGGACAAGGTTGCTGAAAGCCATGGAGGACCACAGAGTATGTGAAAGCACCTGAATCCTGTTAGAAACGTGCAGTTATATATCCATATTATCTAGCAAGTGGACAGTGGACGACATTTCTAACGTATGTGTGTGTGTGTGTGCGTGCGAATCCATGTGCATGACTATGAGGGTATATTTAGATAATTTTCCCAACTGCAACTGAACCCAAATATATAAGCTCATCTTTGTTACTGAACTACCTTCTGGAATCAAGTTTTTTCTCTCCCTTCTCAGGCATTCCCCAGGATACTAAGTGATTTAAAACTCTAGCTTTGTCAAATTCACTGAGCTGTACACTTAAGGGTGCCCTCTATGGTGTGTGTTACACTGCCATGAAAACATTAAAAATAAAGCTTAAAACCAACCAACTAACCTAGTGTGGCAAGGATTCACTCACTCCTGCCCCCGTTAGCTAACCTTATCTGGTCCCCTGGTATACTTTCTGATTTCAGTGCTTCATGCTGGGCAAGAGAGGAGCTGCTTGTCCCACCCGTGGCTTATCGACAGGAGGGCTCCCGAGCACTTACCCCAAAATCAAAGCAGTTGAAGGAAGAGTGGAAATAAAGGCGAGGCCCCATGCCGTACATCTTCAGGGACATCTCCAAGAGGAAGAGTCCCAGAAACAGAAATTCTGCATAGTCTGAAAGCATCAAAAGCAGGAGCATTTGTTCCCCAGATGGCGGGCTCCCACACTCCCGAACCCCAAAACTCCACCTGCAGAGGTGCCCTTCACATGAGCAGGACCCACACAAGTAAGGAGGGTCATGACCAGGGCAGGTCAGTACCAGGCAACACCTAATGATGTCAGAATTCGCTCTCACCCAGCAGCAGCCCCAGGTGCTCCCCAGGTCGGCTTTGCTCTCCATCAACAGGTGGGTTTGCCACTGCCCTTTAAATGGTAGGTGGCTCCCCAGAAAGACGGGGCTTTACCATGGCTTCGATGTGAGAGCCAGAAGGGTCCCCCACACGCCCAGTCGTGGCAGCCTCCTGGAGCCCCACTCACACACAGTGGCAGCCTTACCCAGAGCTGACTAACCCTTACGTCCCCTTTTTGGTGTATTCGAGGTGCCCGTTGCCCTGAGCTTCCTCCCTACACCGCTGATCCTCTTTAAAATACTAAGTGAAGGCCTTACACCACCCGAATTGCAATGCCATCTGTTGACTCCTCAGCAAAGATTTGTTTATCTGATTCAATAACGAATGACAGATTGGAATGGTCCCTTGGAGACAGCCCTGGCCTCCCTCACAACGTGAAGGGGGAGAACTCTGGGCGGACAGAAAGAAGCACTGCCGGGCCCAGCACAATCCTGGCTCTCTGACACTTGCAGCTGGAGAGCCCGCAGTCACGGGTCACTCACAGAGGAAGTGGGTGAGCCACTGGGGCTGGTTGTGATGGACGATGGCCACGCAGGCGGTGTTGAGAGCCACCAGGCTCAGCACAATCCAGTAAAACACCTGGGATTTCACCATGTGGCGGACAGAGATGCGCAGAAGCCTTTCCTTGTGCCGGAAATAGGAGGCCCCGTCCACCTTTGCGCTTTTGATGCTGGCTCGGGCGAGGGGTGTGCCTGTGGGGGAGAAGGAGGGAGGGAGAAGGAGGCTGCAAAAACGATCACCCTCTGTGGCGAGGGGGACAGTGTTGGTCCCCCAGCTGGGTGGCCACCATGCTGCAGGTCTGGGGACACCCGTGATAAGGAGTCTCCACAGTAGAGATCCCTGCTTTTCCTCTGGGCACGCTCAGTCCTAGAAAGGATTCCCTGGGTCGGAGGACACAAGGCATATATACCTGGTATCTTAAAGCGAATCAGATCATGTTTATGTTTGGGCTTCTCTCTGGCCTTTCCTTTTCAATATCCTTCGGGGGCTGGAATCATTCTGCTGCCTCTGTGATCTTTCTGCCACGGGCAGCCGAACGCAGCAGTGAGCTCTGTACGCCTCTTCTGCTTTTAAGAATGAAGACCCCTCCCTTTTTCTTGAGGAAATATCTGCCATCTGCCAGCATTTCTACGAGAATCTGGGACTGAACACGTCATGCTGTAGGGTTCTCAGTAGGAATTTGTTTAAATATCACATGGACGATGGGACGGCAGGAGGTGGGTGCTACTGGGGTTAAGAAGGTTCTCAAATGGGGGTTACTAGGAGCAACAGGCCCTCAGCTCCTTTGAACGTATCTAAGTGGGTTTTCATGATCCTGCAGGAGAGACCGGCTGATGGACACATGGGCACACGTGAAGAATCTGGGCTGGATTTTTCTAAGCCCATGTTTCATGTGAACAGGGTCCCCGCGTCCATTTTTTTCTAAGTCATTGTAGATTAGATTCCCACACCTTCTCTAATTACAACCCTGGGTTCTGGATTCTTTGGGTTCCCTTCCTCCTCGTGGTGCTTCTCAAAAGACAGGCTCTTTGTTTTGATGGGAGATTCAGAGAGGGGAAGACCTAACTGGTCCCACTCACCCACGGAGGAGATATCCACACAGTGCTCGTCGCTGGAGTCTCGAGTCATGACCTCCGTGCGGCTGCGTTTGATGGTGGCCCTTCGAAGCACTGTGCCAGGATAGGGGAGGCAGGTGAGGACACGCATAACCGGGTCATTCTGCTCAAAACTGAGGATTGTCGGCCAGAGGCCTCTGGGACCCAGGCGACTGCCCTTAAACAGCTGAGCCAGGGTCACAGAAGTCGCAAACGTCTATAGAGACAAGACTCCCGTGCTGAGAGGCACCTATCTGTGCTGGCTCCTCACCAGCGAGGCAATTCCTGGGAATGAAAGTGGTCCCAAGAGGATCTCCACTGATGTTCAAAGAAGATCCTTTATATGCCATGGATTGCATGATGGGCTTTTTATTGCACATTATCAATGACACACCCCGGAACCAAAGTAACTCTTGGATTTGGCTTTCATCATGTTAAAAAGCATTTAAAAATTTGTGACTCAATTCCCTTCCTTTTAAAGCATGAAGGATTTTATGACAGAGAGACTTCGGTTTCAAATCCCAGAGCGCCCTTCTTTTATTTCTCTCTCCTCTTTGGATCAAGAGACCACCATGCAAAAGAGGGGGCCATGCCAGTGGAGTGAGGAGTTGGTTGGAGCCTTACCTTCCAAGGCTGATGTGCCAGCATTTTTATTTTCTTCAGCAAGCATGACTTCCTCTACATGGAAACAAATGGTTTAGTCAATTATCTGTAAATGGCAAATTATCTTGCAAAATGAAATCCCTCAGGGAGGGCTTGGGCTCCAGGGCAACAGAGAAGGAACAAAGGGTTCACAGTCCGTAGCAGGCGTCAGCAAGAGAAAGCCGCCAAGGTCACGGAGAGAGCGCCCCAGACACATCAGAACAGAAGGATGTTTTGGGTGCGTGGGCGCTTGGGGAAGATGGTAAAATCCAGCTCTGTGTCTGACATGCTCCTTCAGGAGGATGCTCATGAGGGGAGAGTTGACCTTTTTAACTAAAACCCCCTTAAGTTGATAGAAATGAGAACTTCTGTTTCTGGTTTTTCTTCTTCCCAGGTTATTGTCTTTCCTAACTCCTTAAGCCTTCTCCAGCAATGGGAGCTTCCTTAGTTCCTCTTGTCTGCAACTTCACATCTACCAGCTCATTCAGGAGGCGAGGCCACGCTTTGGGCGTTGGCCTGTCTACTTCGTGAGGAGCAGCACTCAGGGAGAGGAGCAGGGCTGGAGGGCTGGCTTCCTCCCACCCCACCACCCACCACTCCATCCTGCTTTCATTGGGCAGAGCTTGAGCTGACCACGCTTGGGCCCATCATGAACGTGTCCTTGTGATATTGGATTTTGTTCACGATCTATTCCTGACACAGAACTCTTAAAACCCTTGGAATTTACTGTCTTCTGTACACTAATGAGATGATTCATTGTGGGGGAGGCCTAGTCACCAGAATGGGGGCTGGTAACTAGAAAAACCAACCCCAGGATTAGAGGGTTATAACTTTCAGCCCTATCCCTCTCCCACCTCCTGGGAAGGGAGAGGGGCTAGAGCAGGGGTGGGCAAACTTTTTGACTCGAGGGCCACAATGGGTTCTTAAACTGGACCGGAGGGCCGGAACAAAAGCATGGATGGAGTGTTTGTGTGAACTAATATAAATTCAAAGTAAACATCATTACATAAAAGGGTATGGTCTTTTTTTTTTTTTTTAGTTTTATTCATTTCAAACGGGCCGGATCCGGCCTGCGGGCCGTTAGTTTGCCCACGGCTGGGCTAGAGATTACGGATAACAATGGCTGATGAATTAACCAGTCATGCCAATGGGATGGAACCTTTATAAAACCTACACATCAGGGAGCTCCTGGGCTGGTGGCCACGCCAAGATCCTGAGAGGATGCCATGTCTGGAGAGAGGACGGCAGTGCTGTGCAGCCCCAACCTCTGCCCCTCACCTTGGTCTGTATGTTTCTTCATTTTGGCTGTTCCTGAGTTGTATTCTTTATAATAAGCTGGTAGTAATTATCGTTTTTCCTGAGCTCCAGAAGTTGTTCTAGTGAATTATCAAACCCGGACCCCTCTGAATTTGTCGTCAGTGGGGCAGAAATGCAGGTCATTGGGGGCCTCTGCTTGTGGCTGGTCCCTAACCTGTGGGGTGTGCATGAACTCCAGGCGGTACTCAGTGTCAGAATGGAACTGAATTGTTGAGTATCCGACAGGTGTCGAAGAATGGCAGGACTGACTGGTGTTGGAACAACATATTTGGTTGTTGGTGTTTGGAAAAGCACCACACAGTCCCTTGGCCTCCCCTAGGGCAGCCCTGTACTCCCCATTGGCAAGATCCTATTTTCTATACTTGTTAGAATAAGCCTCACCAGCATCCCTCCAAACCTGCCAACAAAATAGCCCCTGTCTGGTGGAACTCGGAGTCCCCTATTTGGCCCCACCCTCACTTGGCCTATAATAGACCGGTTTGGAGACTTAAGTAGCCATTGCCTAGGATTCCGGCTGCTGGGGAAAGCTTGCAGCAGGCCCTATTAAAGGATGGTTTATAATTTAAGCTCCTGTAACAAGTTCAAGGGCAAGCAGAAAAGGGTGAAGTCATTACCACAATTCCACCTGCATAAAAAATTGAGAGCGTATAATGAATGTATTTCCCAGGGAGGGGGCATTTTGAAGCTCAGGGGGATGGCCATTCTACCAAGTCCTAATGTTTAACTTCCTCTTTTGAGTACAGCCTCCAGCGAAATTCTAAGTTAGCATTTTGAGTGTTATTGGTGGAATGCTCCTTGATGCAGACAAAGAGGGTTTTAAAGTCATTGGGCTGTACAGTTTGAGAGCACCCTTTTAAAATAGGTACTTGTTAGCCCTAGCTGGTTTGGCTCAGCGGATAGAGCGTCGGCTTGAGGACTGAAGGGTCTCAGGTTCAATTCCGGTCAAGGGCACATGCCTAGGTTGCCGGCTCGATCCCCACTGGGGGGCATGTAGGAGTGGCCGATCAATGATTCTCTCTCATCATTGATGTTTCTATCTCTCTCTCCCTCTTCCTTCCTCTCTGAAATCAATAAAAATATTAAAAATAAATAAATAAAATAGGTGCTTGTTAAAACACCTCATAGCAACCTGAATGACCCGAGCCAGAAGCTTGGCTGTGTACAGTGCCTGGACCTTGGGGTGGGCAGATCTGAGGACCCCCAAACAGAGGGGGGGTGTGGAGCTGTGGAGCATCTCTGGGAAGCGCTGGAGGGCTCTGGATGTGCTGAAACCCCCCCTCCCCCAATGCCTTTTGCCAAGTTTGCTTTCGAACTTGAGAGTGCCTTTCCAGGGAAATGTAACCCATATGTCTCTGATTCACTGCCGTTCCATGTGTAAAGGGAAGGGCCAGGAAGCACAGGTTGACGTCGCAGTGCGTCTTTTTTCTTAGAAGGAGGAGAGAGCTGGCTGTGCTGTGCCAACTGGAAGAAAGTGCAGCCTTGCGATCCTGCATGGATTTGCAAAGCAGAGCCACAGAGAGCAGCATCCTGGGCGTGCACCTGACCCTGAGTGCGGCCAGGGCCAGGGCCGGAAGGTCCTTTCCCAGTTCTGCCGCCCACCCACTCGCTAGGGTGGTCTGTCAGATGGCAACTCCGCCCAGGAAGCCAGTGGCAGTGGGGATTCAAGCTGCCTGACTGGCCTGGCAGCAGATCTGCTCAGTAAGGCCGAGTTACCATTCTGGGAAGAGGAGAGGGTTATTCACGTTCACGCTCACACAAGGGTCTCCCAGGAGAAAGCACAAGTGCAGTCCACACGCCTGGGCATGGCTCAGCTTCCAGAGGAGGCAAAGGGATGCAGCGAGTCCCAAAGAGGGTGACTGCTATCTGGCTTTGAAGTAGTAGTTTCAGTCACACTCTCTCTCACCCCTGATAGATCATCCAACACTGACTCCGGAGCAGAGAGAGAGCTTTGTGTGCTGGTGGCGGAGTGAGTGTCATGGCGTCATTCCAAAGCTCGTCTAGAAGAATAAGGCTCGGGCAACTAAGCAGCAAATCAGATTCCAATTTTTGCCCCGGGAGGCCTCACGGTTGTGCTATGCTTTCTACTGGGAATAGAGAAAAGGTGCTGACTGTCATGTATAATTTTCGATTAAAAAATGTCCTCTTTGCTCAGGAAGAGAATGAAGATAAATAGGACCAATGCAATCCAGCCTGTAAAATAGCAAGGCAAGCACATGCAGCCTTTTTACTGACAGAGACGGGGTGACTGATGTCTCTCCTACGCAGCTGAGCCACAGTCCAACTGGAATCTGGTGGCTCCGTGAGTTAAGACAACCGTGGTGGGTTTGGGCCTACGCTCAGGGCGGGGCAAGAATCATTCCTGATGCGGAGCCAAGACGGGGGAACTGGTGACAGCTCGGGGAATAGGCAAAACCAGTTCTCACCATCACCTGTGCCCCGGCTGACTGTGATGGCCTCACCATTGGTCCTATTATCTGTTCTCGAACCAGCCACCAAGTGCTCCTTCAACATCTTCAATCAGAGCACGTCCCTCCTCTGTTCAAAACCCTCCAGTGGTTCCTGCCTCACTCGCCCTGACAATGCCGGTCATGCCCGATCACTGCCCTCTCCCCCTGTGATTGCCCTCATCCTGTCTCCTGAACCCCTCCCCTTGCTCACCCCCCTCCTGGCTGCTCCCACTTTACAGCCTTGGCATCGGCATATTCCTCCCTCAGATCGTCCTGTGGCTCGCCCCCTCATCTCCTTCAAATGTCCGCCAAACAGATCTACCCTGACACCTCTATTTAAAGCTGTGACTTCCCCTACGCCCCATGGCCCTACCTGAATTTGTTGTCAGTGGGGTAGACATGTAGGTCAGTGGATCTTATCACCTTCTGACAAGTTGCTTATGTATAATTTTGTTCACTGTCGCCTTCCCCGCCTAGAGGGTAGTGAGCTCCAGGAGAGGAGAGTGCTGGCTCACTGCTGTACCAGGAGCCTGGAACAGGACCCGGCAGCAAGGCAGCAACACTACCCATCCATGGAATGAATGGGTTATTGTTAGCAGTAGCAGCAGCACAAACGTTACCGGCCCAAACTCAGCTCCAGGATTGGATTATGCTACCATTTCCTCAGTGCGCCTTGCTACCATGCCCGTCTCATGAAGGTGTTTAATAGAAGAACAGGGACTGTCAGACGCCAGATAAAGGAAAGTGGGACCTGCAGGGAACCTCAAAGCAAATGAGGCATCTAGAGCCTCTCTCTGCTCCGATCCAGGCTGCCCCTGGGCAGGGAGGTACTGGGAGGTCCCCGCCGCCCATGCAGCCCGCCACCGGCCGTCCCGTCCCGCCTGCCAGCCTTACCCGCTTTGTCGATCCAGGCGCGGTACCCGTTCAGCTCCCGCTCAATCTGCTGCTGGCGTCGCAGCTTCATGAAAGCCCTCCGGTTCTCCACTCTCTCTCTCTCTTTGGCAAATTCCCTGTGGACAAGGAGGATGAGATGCACTAAGTTCAGGCAGTGCCATGACTAAGAGAAAGAGTGATGTGAGGAGGAGAGAGAGATTGAGCAGGTGCCTCTGGGCACCCCCTTTCCCCTTCCCTTGGTCCCAGCTGCATCCATGACATCCTTAAAAAGTTGTTCAGAAACTCACCTCATTCAGCCCCATGCAGAAACCTTCCCAGATCCGGTTTATACCCATCAGCACTAACACCCTCTGCTTGCTTGCTCGGAAAGGTGTTTCCTTAGCCACGTGACGAACCAGGCCTCAAAATGCTATACCTGCCGCGTCCCCAGCTACAACAGAGGCCCTTAACCCTGCGAGGGGCATGGCTACTCTTTATGCTTTTAACTACAATAATGATTAATGTATATGGACCACTTATTAGGCCAGCCCTGTATGAAACTTTTCATACCCATTAACTCCTTTAATCCCCATTTAAGCCGTCCTATGAGAAAAACACTATTAAAATTCTTGTCTAACAGAGAAAGAAACAAGGCTTAGAGAAGAAAGTAACTTGCTGGGATCTGAACTCTAACCAGCGTGCTGTGCCTCCTCTGGGGTCCTGTATCCTGAGGCGCTCGATAATGGCTGTCCCTGAAGACCAATGATACCGATGCCCTGAAGGGCTGCCATGCTGTTTGAAGATGGCTGGCAGCGAGTAAGTGAGAAAAGGAACATGAGAAGGGCACCTGGACTCTAGGAGGAAGACAGTAGGGAGGTGGGGTGGAGCTGGTGGGGAGATGATGGGACAGAGGGAAAGCCAAGGTGAGAAGACACAGCCCACTGCCAGGGGCCCACAGCCACTCTGTGGCACAAGACAACAAAGACTAAAGCCCCATGGGCAATGGAGAAAGAAGAGGAATGAGTGCTGCCTGGCAGACAGGGAGATGGTTTAATTCAATGGGGAGCAAATAGGGATCAAGAAAAATTCATGAGCTAGTGGGCCCCTCCAGAAACCACCTCCACCACTGTCCTCCACATCACCAAACCCCTTCCAGGCGAGAATGCCCCTCGCTAGAACAGCACCTCCCAGTCACCGCTCCGGCACTCCCCCACTGCCCTGGACGCTGTCAAGGGCTCCCCATCAACAAAGAGGTGCCCCTTGAAGATGGAGAGGTCCAGCACCCATCATGGGTCCTGCCAGCTTCTCCCTCCTGTCCAGTTACTAAAACATGAGCCAGGAGCTGAGGGTCATACTCCTGGCCCTGTGCAGGGGAGTGGGAGGGGCCTCATCCGGTCCTTCCTATAAAGATAGAGATGGATTCCTTGGCACCAACACCTTATAATGATCACAGTGAGGCTGAGGGCAGGGGCATGTGGCACATACCCAGGGGAGGAGATATTCTCCTGGGCTTGGCTGTGGGTCCAGTGGGTTCTACCAAGGGTGTTGTGGGGAACAGAAAGGGAGGGGGTCAAAATGAAGAGTGCAGGGCCAGTGAGTGACAAGGTAACAATTCAGGCCCTGGGGCATCCCCTTTCCCCACCTTCATTCATGGGTTTCAGCATGGGGCTGGCGTCGCCACCGATCAAAGTTCTTACCTTCGGCTCTTTTCCTTCTTTGTATCCCTCCTTCCCAATTAGTGCCGACTTCCAGTTGGTTCTGTCTTCAGAAGGACACCAGATCCACCTCCCTCTTCATCCTCACCGCCTTGGTCCAGGACCCCATTCTCTCCTGCCTGGGCCATTACAGTAGCACCTACCTGGTCTCTCCACCACCTGCCTCTCTCCCCTTCATTTCCTCCATCTCACAGCTATTGGTTATTTTTCTACAACATGATCACTTCCAAACCTAAAACAATAACTATAGGGAGCAATATGTGTGGAACACTTTCTAATTTTCAAGCACCTCTGTATATCTTCCTCATTGAATCTTCACAACCCGTCTGAGAAGAAGGCAGAACATGTATTTTCATCCTCCGGGGAAAAGCTAAACCGCTTGTTCACGTTTAAGCAACAAAGCCAGGACTAGAGCCCAGAGTTGTCTGCCCTATGAGCCGGGGCTCCTCACGCCCTGCCTATCTGCCCGGTGGCGTATCTGTATGTCCCTTCTTTATCTTTCATATGGATGTGTCCTAATTTTTCAGCTATGCTCTGGGGGAATTCAGGGAGGTTTCAAGCAAGACCTTGAAAAGGGGGACTTGAAGCAGGCTGTGACCAGAGGAACACAACAATCCTTGAGCATCTGGGGTGAGATCACCAACATCTCCATGTTCCAGCTCAGAAACGGTATCCAAGGAGGAGTTAAGCGGCCCTTTGAGGGGGCAAGTGTCCAAGGAACCATGACCCTCAGATCTTCTAAATTCCATCTTCTCTCTGTTCTAATCCCTTCCCCTCCACACCTCCTCCTCCTGCTGCTAAATGAGGTACACACAGCTAACATGGCCTCCAGTCTTTCACAGTCTCATCTGGACCTTTCTTTCCAAGCCTCACCTTCCATCATTCCTCTCTACCCCATGCGCTCCGGCTGTCCCCCTCAGTCATGCTCCCACTGCAGCAACTTCTCTCTGCTCCCGAAAAGGCAGTGCAGGCTTGTAAGGCTTGGTTCCCACTGCTTCTCTGCCTGGAACCCCTTCTTTTCTGCACCTGAGTCTGTTAAAATCCTTCCTCAAGGCCAGGCTGACATGTCACCTCTTCTGTTTAGTGCTCTTCTCCCCTAACCTCTCCTTAGTCTTCCGGCCTCCCTTCTACCTTTCTTCTATGTCTTTACAGCCCATCATACAGCCGGAGCTTTACTGTGCTGGGCTACGCAGGAGACTCTCTACTTTACTAATATGTGAGCTTTTTGTGAAAATGTTATGTCTTTCTTAACTTTGTGGTGTCCTCTGGACTAGGCTAGACCTGGCACATAGTATATGTTCAATATATATCTATATATTTTTTTTAAATTAAAAATTAAATTAATTAAATTAAAAATATCCAGATAGACTTGGTGAGCATACTGATCACTCTGCCCTGGGTCCCAAAGGCCTAAACCAGCGGTTCTCAACCTGTAGGTCGCGACCCCTTTGGCGGTCGAACGACCCTTTCACAGGGGCCGCCTAAGACCATCCTGCATATCAGATATTTACATTACGATTCATAATAGTAGCAACATTACAGTTACATGAAGTACATGTAATCCCATTACATTACATTACATGAAGTAGCAACGAAAATAATTTTATGGTGGGGTCACAACATGAGGAACTGTATTTAAAGGGCCAGAAGGTTGAGAACCACCGGCCTAAACGAAGGCACACTCCCTCTCTGCACTGACCCAAAGCGTGCAGGTGAATCTGTGGGAACTCCCGGACACTGCCACTAAAATCTGTTTCCCTTTGGCTCCACGAAAATCTGTGGCATTAGCCCATCAACTACGCGGTGTGTCACCTCTCACTGGCCCCCGGAGTGGCCCTGCAGCTTGATTTCCGGGGGGTGAGGCCAACAAACCCAGGCTAAGCTCCCCGTGTACTTGGAAGTTTCCTGGCTCCGGGCCTCACCAGCTGGCTTCCCTGCTCTCCTCTGTCATCTTGTCATCGCAGGCCCCCGTTTCCTCCCACCCTCCCACCTGGCATCTTCGCTGGGCTCACAGGCCCGGAGCCCAACAAATCTGGCCTGGGCTTTTTAAGAATCCTCTTGCCTGAAGGAAGGAAACAAAGAATGTGCACCAGTGGGGACAGTTCCTCGCAGCTAGTGCACCTCGGTGGAGGAAGGACCGTGCTGGAGGGAGGGGTGTGTGTGCGCTCTATATTGTTTATGGAGTGGCCCTCTTCCGTTTTTCCAATGGGATCCTAGGAGAGAAGTCTGGCACCAGTGTCTTTCGTGACATTTCTCCCTCCCTCCCTTGCTGTCATCACTGTTTGTGCCCATGGCTCATCGCCCGACTGGTCTGCGGGCTCCATGAGACCATGCAGAGCCTATATGGCATCACATTGCAACAAAGACCTATGAAGATGAATCCAAGGTCTACTATTATAGCAGACTCCATAGGTTATGGAAATAACATGTTAAGAACCGCTAATCTCCATAGAACACATTTGTGAGTTTTTAAGTTTACAAATCACTTTCATGTAAATTAGTGCACTTTTATTTACAAAAACCTTGGGAGATTCAAAAGGTTCTTGTCCAAGATCAACCAATTAGCCAGAATTCAATCTAACGTGGACCAATCCATTTCAGGTTCAGTGCTGTTTTCACAAGGTCTCAGTTGTCTTCTATGCTATCTAGACATCAACCTTTAAAATCCACAAAAGGGATGTAGTTTCAGCCCAAGGTTGTGGAAAATAAGGATATAAAATCTAGAGTGTTTGTTTTTCTAAAAGACTGTGTTTTTAATAGAGAAGCAGTATGAGAATCCATTGCTCTGTGTTGGATTAATAAAGACCTAGTGTAAAAGTCATAGCTTTGGTCAAGCTAGAGATGCACTGCTTGGTTTTTGTATCCCTACCACAGTCACCATTTATTTATACACATACTGCATTCTAGGGAGAACAGGGATAAGCAGGATTCAGTGCCATTACCTGCCAAAAATAACTGACCATTCGCCCTAAGCGGTTTGGCTCAGTGGCTAGAGCATCGGCCTGCGGACTGAAGGGTCCCAGGTTTGATTCTGGTCAAGGGCATGTACCTTGGTTGCGGGCACATCCCCAGTAGGGGGTGTGCAGGAGGCGGCTGATCGATGTTTCTCTCTCATCGATGTTTCTAACTCTCTATCCCTCTCCCTTCCTCTCTGTAAAAAAAATCAATATATTAAAAAAGCCGAAACCGGTTTGGCTCAGTGGCTAGAGCGTTGGCCTGTGGACTCAAGGGTCCCAGGTTCGATTCCGGTCAAGGGCATGTACCTGGGTTGCGGGCACATCCCCAGTGGGGGATATGCAGGAGGCAGCTGGTCGATGTTTCTCTCTCATCGATGTTTCTAGCTCTCTATCTCTCTCCCTTCCTCTCTGTAAGAAATCAATAAAATATATATATATATAAAATATATATA